AGTGGAACCAACTACTGTTCAACGCCCTTTTTCCCCCGGCCGCGCGCTGCTGCTGCTCCGATATGGCAAGAATGAGCAAGAGGGAGGGGGAGAGGAGGCCCAGCAAAAAGTGAACGGACCGCGCCGGCCGCCGCGCGGATTTCGACTTTTCATCCGGCACCTTCTATCGGCTATCCCCGCCCCTCATCAACGATGGTTTCTTATTGTAACCGGCTGAAAATCATTGTTTGAATCTGTTTTTATTTTTTATCGCGTTTTTTCTAGCGTCTAGAAGCTTTACTTTATTTTTAAGCGGATAAAGCGTCCTCGGTACTTTGGCATTAGCGGGGGGATCAGGGACGCACCCATTGCTTTTCTATAAGCTCAGAAATGTCAATTAACGTAGCAGCAAGTATTCCAATAGGGTTTTTGGTAAAATGCACCTATATTGAAGTAAAAAAACCGTCATCTTCCATTGTTTTTATGATTTTTTTAATCGCTACTTTAACTATGGCTCCCTTATGGTTTTAATCGGTAAAAAAATGGCGAGCTATACCTTTTGCTTTTTATCCAGTCAGTTTTTATCCTCATTAAAGGGGCTGGAAAGCGGCAGAATCGACCGATTCCGCCAGCTAGGTGTTGACAGTTACGCGCCGCGGTAAACGACGCGTACGTACCAGATTGGTTCTTTATCACCTCCTAATGGAATTTGTAGAAATTAACTTAAGGAGTCATTTGGAGCCACGCGTAACGGCCTAAATCTAGCGGATGGAAGGGGTCGATTTTCGCGCTTCCCGGCTTTTTCAAACTTGAAACCCTGAAACCACCGACCTTCTCGCACCCGCACCACGCACCGCGTTTGCCATTTCGTGGCGTAAAGCAATACGAAGCGTTGCGGCGATCACACGGCACGTTGCGTTTCGCGGGCGCGGCGAGCCACATATTGAAAAATTTGCAGCTTGGGGCTGTTTCTGCAAGCCAGACCTACCCTCAAATTCAAGCAGTTCTTTTTGATTCTCATTCAATTCTCCAGGTTTTTATCTCCAAATCAACTCTGGTTTTTGATCTTTTAGGTACCAAAAAGCGCCCACTCTTCTTTGCACGTCACACATCTCCGTGCCGGGCAAGGAGGATGGGGACCCGTTGGGTGTGTCTACTCTCCTCATCCTGCCTAGTTCTCGTGCTCATCTCCTGGGGGGCACTCGTCTTCCTTGTTCATGACCTCCTCGATCTGCACCACGAGATCACCGACGGGGTGCGCCATTTTCAAGCTATGCACGATGAGGCGTGGACGAGGATTGAGCATCAGCTTCCGCTAAATGAGCGGAGGAAATTGGCGAATGCTGAAGGTTCGTCGATTAGGCTTAGGCTTAGGTTTAGGTTTGGACTTAGGTTTAAGCTTAGGCTTCGTCTTAGGCGTAGGCTTTCGGCTTAGGCTTAGGCTTAGGCATGAGCATAGGCATAGGCTTAGGCTTAGGCTTAGGCTTAGGCTTAGGCTTGGTCTTAAGCTTGGTGTAGGCTTAGGTTCCGCTTAGGCTTAGGCTTAGGTTAGGCTTATGTTTAATCTTAAGCTTAAGCTGAGACTTAGGTTTAAGCTCCCTTCATTTCAGAAAAAATCCGCAAACGACGCCAACTCCAAATCCGACTCCGCGAGGTGGCCATGCCGGGTGGGTCCAGCACCTCAGATAACGGTGGCAGCTTCACCTCGGCTTTCGGGGAATCGAATGCAGGAAATGGTGAGTGTAGAAATTAAGTTTTCTTCTACCCAATTCTTCCACAGGCGAATTCGCGGAAATTGATGGACTGCTCAGAAGCTATGGACTTGACGGGAACCCACAGCAAAAGTCGAAGGGTAGGTACTTCCGGTTGAGGATACGCTTTTTAGGGTACGGCTGTTCGCGTTGCGCTTCGACGCGGTATCTCAACAGTTTCCCCAGCTATCGGGCCGTCTACAATTTCCACGACCAGAACCCGGGGTCGTTGAGGATCAAATTTACAGGAGGATTTGGACCCGGACAGGTGAGAGAGAGAAAAGGGAGAGAGAGAGCGAGAGAGCGAGAGAAGAGGGAGAGAGCGAGAGAGCGAGAGAGAGAGAGTGAGTGAGAGAGACAGCGCCAGAGAGAGAGGGGGAGCGAGAAAGTGCGAGTGAGAGAGCAAGATCGAGAAAGCGGTAGAGAGAGAGAGAGTGAGAGAGAGACAGAAAGGAGAGAGGGAGAGAGCCACCCGAAAACCTTAAAAACTATAAACCTATACCTTAAAAGAACTATCATAACTTTTAATAACTTAAACCTTAAAACTATAATAAATTTGCCATCATATTAAGCTCGTCTAATGCTAGATAATTGACACTTACTTGATTTATTAAGCCCTCTAAACCTCTAAAAAAACTATAATAATACCAATAATTCGACAGTTACAAAACCTTAAATTTCAGTCAAACTCTAAAACGTTAAAACCAAACCAAACACTGAAATAACCCTCGTAACCGGTTCAGGAAGTGAGCCTCAAACCCGGGGAGACGGTGACGTTTACTGGAGGTTTGGCAGGGTGCCAAACATGCCAGAATTCCGGGCAACAACCCCGTACGGAGCCGACAGGGCCTCGAGACGAACAGGATGATGTGGATGATTTTGGAGGAGGGGATACCGACAAGAAACAGGTCTGCATATCACTAATTGTTGGAGGTTTCCGGTGGAATACTAAAAACACTGCTGGGAAACGGAAAAGCCTGCCTTTGCACTACTTTCCTTAACTATACTACGGACTTTTCCATAACTTTCCGTTGCTTTCCGTATCTTTCCGTAACTATACTACGGACATTTCCGTAACATTCCGTAGCTTTCTGTAACAATCCTATCCACTTTTTATTACTTTATTATTAACAAACTATCCTGTACTTTGCAATTATCTTTTAATGGACTTTTTATTTTACCGTAATTAACATAATTCAAAATTATTAACCAACCAGCGCCCAAAACCCGCTTCGCGGGCCTTGGGCGCTGGAATGCGGCCTTTGCATGAAAAGTTTGACTTTCTGATAGCTCGGGTCCTGCGGACCCCCCCCGCCCCGACCACACGCGCGAGTGCAACTGGCCAGAATGAGGAATTTTGTATTTTTTCGCATTATGCAAATTAGCCTTCAGGTACCCCCAAAAATCAATTAAACCGCTTTTAACTTTGTAAACTTGTATTTTATCAAAATTCTGAAAACGCCATCGGAAACAGAAGGGTCGATTACCCCAAGTGGCGGAGAATTAAGGCATTTTATGCACGGGAAGGCCCTTAAATCGGGCCTCGAAAGTGACATCCACACACACACACACACTCCCCAAAATTATTTAAGGTAGGAATATAAGGTATAATCCAATATATAATTATTTCTTTAAATAATCTAACCAACCGCGCGACACTTCTACGCAATCTATCCCCCTCTCCAATTAATGCGCCGTATAACCCAAATTACCTGAAATTTCAGCCCCCCAGCGACAGGCATATTACCCCGAAAAAGCGGCCAGCCCCGCGCATTTTTAGAAATTTTTACCACCTGAAGGTCGGTGTTGAGCGGGTTTTGGATTTTGTAGACTTGCCTGGCGCTTTAAGGAGTGTAAAACCGCGAATTTAAGGAATTCATAAAACGTTAGGCGATTCGCTAGTCTTGTAGAAATTCCATTTCGTCCAAATTAATTTTTTTCGAAATTTGACAAAATCGCAGAAAAACATGCATTAATAGAATATGCATTAGCAAATTTAAATTTCGACAAATTTATATCTTGCTAAATCGAAATTTCAACAAAATAAATTTCGATAAATCGAAATTTCGACAACAGTTCGACAAAATGAGTATCGGCAAATTGCAATTGTTTTTTCGACAAGACGAATTTAAACCGGATTGCATTTCAACAAAAGAAATTCGATCAATTTAAATTTCAACAAAATAAATTTCGACGAGTTGAAATTTTGATATTTCGCAAAATGGAATCTCAGTGCATTGAAATGTCGACAAAAAGAATTTCAACAAGTTGATATTTCGACCAAATGAAATTTCGACAAATTGAAATTTCGACAAAATCACTTTCAACGCAATGAAAATCAGCCACTTTAGGTGATCGAGGTGCACGAGAATGACAAGGACACATTCAATCTGCCGGAAGACGCCTCGACGGAAACGCCGACCGGATGGGATAGTTGCCCGAATTGTCGACGACCAACGTCTGAAGAATCGAGTGAGGAGGAGGATGGAGGGTCGAGAAATGATGGACGACAGTTTGAGGAAGAGTCGACGAGGAGGCCAGATGAGGGGGTGGTACCGCCCTATGTACCCATGCCATATCATCCCTCAAACAGGTCCGTATGGTTCTTTGGCATTATCGGCGGGGGGCGGAATTTTTCCGATTAGTCCAGAAATTCCTAGTAACTTCATAGTAAGGATTTTACAAGTGTTTTTGGGAAAATTTATCTAGATTTCCCATGAAAAAGCATCTGGAAATTTGCAAAATAAAATTAAATCGGAAATTTTGGCCAAAAATCGATAATTTTATGTAGAAATAAAATAACAAAAAGGTTTGATAATTTAATTTTAATATCGGAAATTCTATTCCTAAATTTATTAAAAAGCATGTATTTCTAGTTTAACAATTTATATATTTCTGGCTAAAAAAATCTTAGAAAGCACTTTATAAACACTTATCTTTTAATTAGAAAAATTGGTTCCTGAGTAAAAAAAGTTGGTACCCTTCCCCCCCCCCCGATAATGCATAAGCCACGCTTCTGCCACATTTCGCTGAAAAATATCATATTTTCAGGGGTCCCGACGAGTATCCGACGCCTCCCACAACTACACCAGGATACGCCCTTCCCCCAGAGACTACGCGAGGCTACGGCACCCCACCCACCACCACCCAGGGCTACGCACCGCCGCCGCCTGAAGATCAAACATACGGCACCGTACCCCCAACGACTACGCGCGGATACGGGCGGCCACAGTATGTCCCGCCCGTGTATCAGACCCCCAGTCAACGACGATGGGATATGAACGGCCACGGCCCCAAAATCCGTACTTACGCCCGACGACGATAGCCCCGAGGAGGCCCAATTCGGAGGAGTCTTCTGAAGAGGTACGGTGGCTTACGGTAGTTTAATGGCTCAGTTTTAGGATCTGGGTGGAGTGAAGAATACGGGTTGGAAAGAGGAAGAAGAGCGTCCACAAACACCCTATGGACACTGCCCTTGCACTTGTCCGATGATACCGCCCGATTATTGCCCGAGGGGACCGCCTGGTGGGTTTTAAAGGGGTTAGCAGGATGGGGTCATTTCTCTCTCTCTCTCTCTCTCTCTCTCTCTCTCACTCTCTCACTCTCGCTCTCGTTGCTGTAGCCGTTTTTGGCGACCTTGGAACAAGCGCTTACAGGTAGCCATAAAGCAAAAAAAGTCTGGCGCCACCCGGGATTCAACTATGGTGGCGTGCCTGATCGGCAGGGACCCTAGCCCCGTCACCCTCGTTTTTACACGCGCAAATCCAACATTACCTTCCATTACCAATACCTTTTAGGACCACCCGGTCTTCCCGGTGACAAGGGCCCAGACGGTCACCCAGGTGGCCATGGGCCACTTGGTATCCCCGGAAAGCCATGTGAGGAGCAAATGTTCGGCCGATACGGTGGAAAACAAGCCGCCCTCCGGAACCCAGCCTCCCCAATATATGGAGGGAGACAAGCGGTGTATAGTAGGGAACACGGGCGTGTATGTCTCATGTGTGAAGCGGGGCCAAGAGGACCGGCAGGGAAGCGGGGACGCCCCGGACGGCCTGGGTGAGTGTTTTCTAAATAAAGTAAAGCTGAGCTAAAAAGCTAAGTCTAAAGCCTAAGCATGGGTCGATGGCTAAGCTAAGCTGATCCTAAGCCGAAGCCTAATCCTAAGCCAAGCCCAGTTTAAGTCTAAACCCAAATAAGTGACCCATTAGCCCCATTCCAGCCAACGCGGTTTCCACGGACCCCGTGGCGAAGCTGGTCTCCCCGGCAAGAATGGCAAAGTGGGCCCCAAAGGCATCAAGGGCCCCCCGGGACCCGATGGACCGAAGGGATATGATGGCCCAGCTGGACTGATGGCTCTTGTTTACATTGACGGTATGTTGCTCGATCGATAAGCATGATGAGCCCCTTTTTCAGGAGCCCCAGGACCCCAGGGCCCACCCGGAAAGCCCGGCCATCCCGGCGAGAAGGGAGCCCCTGGCGTTTCCGGGCCACCCGGAAATCCGGGACTAGCCGGACAACCTGGGCCCGATGGCTTCATGGGACCGGAGGGGCCGGTCGGATCCCCAGGTTTGTCGTCAGGTTTGAAGAAATCGGGGTGCGCGAAATTCGACTGTGGAGCTGTCGAGATTTTGGCGTTTTCATTTGGCGGAAACTGGCAAAAACCCTCAAATTCAGGAGAGCCCGGCCGACCGGGACGCCCCGGCGAGGACGGCAAGTACTGCGACTGCCCGAACGGAAATGTCTACCGCCCTGCCACACCCACAATCCCACCCCAGACGTATCAGACGCCCACCGAGGCGCCGTATGTAGTAGGTCTTCGGAAGCCTTTGTGATCTCCCAAAATTTGCTTCAAAATTCGAGAAAAATTGCTTTTTTCAGCCCGTTTACCGGCCCCAAGCCTATCCCGGATCCAATTCATATATGGTGAGTTATGCTTAGGTTTCGGCTTGGCTTAGATGGCCTAGACTTCATTTGGATAGGCTTAGGCTTGGCTGAGGCCTGGCGTAAGGCTTTAGGCTTAGGTAGGCTTAAGCTTAGGTTTAGGCTTAGGCTTAGGCTTAGGCTTAGGCTTCGGCTTAGGCTTAGACTTCGGCTTAGGCATGGACTTAGGCTTAAGCTTAGGCTTAGGTTAGGGCCTTGCCGACTCCTTTAAAAGCCCCTAAAATTTCAGCAGCGACCTACCTACCAGGAGCGAACGTACTACCCACCCTCGTACAGCCGATACGGTGGAAAATAGCTACCGTAGCCCTCTCCCTGGTCGTAAATATGCAAATGAGGATCTCGTGTTGTCCATGGAAGCGTCGCGGAGTCGCCAAAACAATATTGTCGATTGGAAATTTTGGATTTTTCGATGCATCTGCTCTTTGTGCGTCTTTCAAATAAAGTTTTTACATTTTTCGATTGGAAACTGCACATTTTCAGACGCCGTAATTTATCGATTTATCGATTTAAACTGATTTTTTATGTATCAACAGAGATTTTTGGCAAAAAAATCACCCTCAAGTCGACGGCATTTTGTTTGCTTTGAGCGTTAAATTCAGAATTTCTGCGTGGTTCAGCCAGCGAAAAGGGGGGCGTGTGATAAGGGTATTTATCCCTTTCGCTCTCTCTCTCTCTCTCTCTCGCTCTCTCCCTCTCCTCTCCCTCTCTCTATTTGTATGTATTCACTGAGTCGTATAATATCTTTCCCTCCCCTCCCCTCGATTAGCACGCTAAACAAGTGACTAATAAGCCGGAAACCCATCTTTTTTCCTGGTTTCTAATTTTTATCTTTATTTGCTAGCTCTGAAAATGAGTCGGAGACCATGAGCACGTTTTTGAGCTCGAGGTGAGTTGGCTCTCCGCGAAAATGCGCATTTTTTTCTCCAGGCCCGATCCACCCAGCTATGAGGAGTTCTGGCGCCGAAAATATGAGAATGAAAAGCGTGCGTTTTCTGCTGTTGCCCCGTCTTTAAATTCAAAGCCATGATTTTAAGCTAATTTACGAAGATAACCGAGCAACGTTTAGAAAAGGGTGGCTGGGCGCGGTGTGCGCTGCTTTGGCTGATTCTCATCGTCGTCGTCACCCTAATTCTGACGGCCACCGGCTTAATACTGTATTTTTGCGTTTTTGACAGTAGGTTTTCAGTATATGCATTTTTAAGGAACCAAGTTGTCAAAATTTAATTTTTAAAAAGTTAAATTTTGTCTCCAAAACGCAGGCGGACTGACGTTACGTAAATCGGGCTTATCAGTCTCAAATGATGGTTGGGGTGGGCTTAGCTTTGGCTTTAGGCTTTTGCATAGGCTTAGGCTTAGCCTAGGCTTAGGCTTAGGCTTAGACTTAGGAGTAAGAGTGGGCCTTGTAAAGTCAAGATTTCAGAAAAGAAAAACCACAAAGATGAGCCGATTACGCAACTGCCGGTAACTACAACACTTTCCGTAATTACGGCCCAACCAACGGCCAGCCCGATTGCGGTGACAAATCGGACTTTAACGTTAGCTTTTTTAGAGATTCGACCCTTATTTTAGTATAATTTTTTTCTTGAATAGCATGTTTTTCTATTACAGTCTCCCCTACCCGGATGCGCTCAATTCCAAGCTTCAGCCGTATTTCTCTACGACAAGCCGAGGTATTGTTGATTTTCCAAGCAATTTTGTCTTAGTTCACTAACCATTGAGTTAAGTTTTATGCTTTAAATAATTTTTTATAACTCAAGCTTTCTTCGATTTAAATCACGAATATTTAGCCGTCTACCTGCTGCACGACGTTACGAACGGGCAGGTCGCCTACTTTGCGAGCGATGGGAATTGTAGGTTTATTGGGTTCTTTAGGATTTCCGGGGAAGTATTTCCGGGGAAACCAAATTTTTCGGCCCAAGCCTAATTTTTTCTAAATAGCGATGCGTTTCTAAATGGTTTTTAACTATTCCTGAGCATAAAACTACCCACATTTTAATTAAAAATTTAATTTTAGGTCGAAAATCCTATAGAACCTTTAGGATTAGCGGGGGGGAATGACCCAAAATGACCAATTTTTGACTTTTTCAATCATTTTTCTAACTTTTTTGAAAGGTTTTTCTACTTTAAATATAGTTAAGATTTACTAAAAACAATGTGAAAGCACTTTCTATTTGATTACTAGGTCGACCGGGATAACCAGGAAAATTTGTTCCCCGGAAATACTTTCCCCCGGAAATCCTAAAGAACCGTTTATTGTAAGGAAAAAATACATTAAAAAATATTATGATACAAACTACAAAAGATAGTATGTAGATAGAAAAATTTAAAATACTTTATAGTGGTCACGATCCGCCAATTCCAAGGGCTCCAAAACCCGGCCTGTGCGATCTGTCAGCTCTACTTTTTGGATGCTGACTGTGATCAGGTTCTCTCGCTTTAGTTTAAATTAAAATTCAGAATTCCTGGAATAAGTAATTCTAGATTATATACAAAAATATATAACCCTAGAGCACTAAACTTCTAACTTTTATCTCAACTTTTTTCTATTAGCCCCCAAAAAGCTGTGATCAACGCGATGCCGTCTATTGTTGTGAGGGCTGCCAGCAGGCCAGCAATTCGGCGTATTGCAACGTTTTTGGGTAAATTAATGGAATTTTTTACCTTTTTACCTTTAATTAATAGTTAGGACGTATTATTAGAAAAATTATCATTTTAGCGACAATTCGACAATCTCTGGCCCAAGCCCCTTCAACGCCGGCGTTTATCTACCCATTTCGAGCGCGTCCAACTCGACAAACTATATATTTAACACGAAAGCCAAAATTTCCGGCGATACCGGACTGCGCTCCTACTTCTATACCACGAGAAATGGGGCGCCTGTAAAAATATATGCCCTAAAAAAATCCATAAAATTATTTAGGACCTAAAAACCGACGCCTCAAACCAATTCGAATTTGGCGAGAATTTTGACACGCTGCAAGTGCTCGCTAGGGATTATCAGGTGACCCAAATAGGCTAAAAATATACATTAAAAAATCTTAATTTTAATACCTTGACTTTTCTAGTCGCAACTAAACACCGAAAGGCTATTTTGGCGAGCGGCCGTGACGAGCCGAAGCGCTCTAGATGTCTTAATTACGGTAGGTTCTAAATAAAATTGGCAATTAAATTATATGCGCTTTAAAAATAAGTTTTTAAACTGTGAACTGGAGTTTTGAACGTTATAAACTGAGCATAAACCTATTTCTTACCAATTTTTATTAAAGCTTTTCAGACAAATCATTTAAAACCGTATCTAAACCTTAAAATCTAAACAAAATAAGAAAATCTTAATAGAAATGAACACCATAATTTTAGATCTCAACGGCCTTGGCCGATCAATCAGCCTCTTTCTCTAAATGTCGCATACCCGCAAACGCCGATTCAACCGTTCAACTGCAGCTTTCTGGGCTAAACAATTACCTACAAGTCACCGTTATTCTGCAGGTAGAAACTAGAAAAAACGGTAGGAAAAACGACCTCCATTTAGGATACCACCACAACCTCGATTTGGGCGTGCCTCGGCGCCGTCGCCTCCAACTACGCCCCAGACCCAATATTGCTAACCACACAGCCAAAAGCCCAGATACGCTCCGTCACTACGTCCACCACTTCCGAAGTATTGGTGCTCGGCCAGAGCTCTCATCTAACAATATTCAGCGTCAATTTTTTCCAATAATAAAAATTTATCAAATGCGCACAGCGTGTGAATGGCATCATGAGCAACAAGGCTTCGGTTTTGACCCGATAAATTCACAATACAAAGTATAGGAAAGTTAAGGCGTAGACACAGACCTCTTACAGAAAAAATAAGGGATGGGTACAGGGTTAGTTAGTTAGTTACAATCTAGCGACTACGAATTCTTAGTGTACAACATATTCCACTGCTGGATACGGAACGGGATCAGGGCGAACGCGTCGTCGGTGGCGAGGTCGTTGAACTTGGTGAAGGAGAGCACCTGAAAGAACAAATTGAACTAGATACCAACAGGGTCACCTGTCGCCTCATCGTGCGCCCATCAGAATGCTTCAGGATCGGCGATTCCAGGGCGACAACCTTGTCAAATTTTTGCCCGTCTCGCAGCCCGACGACCACCACAGACATTGGAGCCTCCGAAGCGTCGACCAGGGCGTCGCGAGTCCTAGAATTGATTAAACATTGTCTTTGTTTCTACATACCCTTTCGTATTTTCCAAATCGCCGTCCGTCAGGATCACGAGCACATAGTAGAGGCCGAGCTTCAGCCGAGCTGATGCCTTGGCGAATCTAGAAGGAAGTGGTATATAGATTTTAATAGGTTTCTCGATAAAGTGATTATCGGCAACCCACTTGCTGACGTGGTAGATTGAGTCGGCAAACTCGGTGGGCCCAAAAAACATCACTTCAAGCCGGGCACTGCTGTAGGCATTGAGCAGCCCGTTGAAGCCCTGGACGTAGAATTGTTGGCTTGTTTGCTCCTAAACTTGTATTTTCATGAATGATTTAATTTGTCTGCTAAATTAAGTGACATATTACACATAACGCTTAATATACGGTATCTATTGATACGGACCAACGGGAAGCAGTTCGACATTTGATGATCGCGGCCAACTCTGGCGCCGAATCCCATCGCTGAAATTCGCGTCTCCTTCGAGTGGCCGAATAGGGGAGGTAGTATTCTAAAGAATTATTCCAGCGTTATCTGATGAAAGTAAAAATCTGTTATCACTAACTTCAAAATCGCGTTCGTGTATGGATTCGGCTTGTGAGGGTGGATGAAGTGCAACGAGGTGGGTTGTGTGGGGTCCCCGTTTGAAGCCGTGAAATCGATGGACACTCCCAGGTCGACGCTGAGCCTAAAATACGGGTAAAGCTTCAAAGCTAAGCTTACCCAGCTTTCACAATCTCAAAGAAACCAGCCGTCTCGTGGATCTCGAACTCGACGAGGTCGGTGCTGATCTTTTCTTCTTTCTTCTTGCCCTCCTCGTTCATCAACTATTTAAGGATTTTCAATAATTTTTTCGCGTTACCATATACGAATTCAGCGCCCCGGGTCCGCGCTGCAGCTTGGTCCAATTCGTACAGCAAGAACCGATCAGTTCGTCTTGGTGGTTGGGCTAAAAACGACAATAGCCAAGCAATTATTTCTTACGTAATGGTTATACACGGAAAGCTGCAAGACGCCCTGCTGATAGAATTGTAGCAGAAACAGGGGCACAGAAAAGGCCGCCCATTCGGGATCTTTAGTCGATAGCATCTAAAAAGTTATTATTGCGATGGAATTATTGCCTACCTCACTTCGGTGCAGCAATATTGTACGATTCGAAATGTTCAATAAAAAGACGAAATAGGGCTTAACAGCTATCGTATTTGCAGTAACGTGAAGATGGCTGGCGGTGAAGCGTAGTTTTACGGCTTGCCTGTATATATCGGGTGCATCTAGCGAGACTTCGAGTCTTCCCTAAATTAAAAGAAAGATAAATTTTGATTCGAGGGCTTACGCGTGTATTATTCAACGGCAACGACAGCTCTCCCCGATTTGCCAACAGCACGGGCAAGTCGAGGTGTGCTTCCCCAATTTTATATACAATCTGTTCTTGTATAGCATCGTTAATTGCAACGCTAAAACAAGGTATTGTCATATCTCCGAGACCTACACATCAATTTTCAATCGAACCAGCGCATCAAATTTATATTCCAAGGCTATGTGCCTGAAGAAGTTCGGGTTCGCGTTAAAAAATTGCGTCTCCGTTTGTGAGAACTGTAAAATGTTGTAGATACGTGACTAAAACCTACTTCGACAAATTGCTGATTTTCATCCTGTTTATAAATAATGAGTCGCATACCGGTGGCATCTTCACGAAGGAATATATCGCTAAAGATCATGTAAGAGGTAAATAAACAAAATTACCGTATCCCAGTTTTGATTTTGATGCCGTAAGAAACCATTGTAAGAAGCCTAAAATTCAGTATTTAGAAATTGGATTTTGTAATTAAAAGTTGCAGAATCTGTCGGCTCGCTTGGCATTCCCCCAAAGAGCCATTTCTTTCGCCCTCTCAAGCTTTTTGTTTGCCTTGCGTAACAAAATGACTCAGAGGATCGTGCTTACTCCAAATGGCGCGAATTGGAACCGGTTGGCATAAACGGGCTTTATTGGCGAGTAACGTGAAATGAGATCAGAACAACGTAATAAAGATAACAAATTGATAGACATTTCGGGGAGGGAGGGGCGATATTTAACTTGGTCAACAACGAGATTACTGGGATATGTAGGTTAAAGGGGGAGCTTTGTTCACTTTAGTGCTTGCGCTTCTTCTTTGACGGCTCTTGGTATCCGTGGGGTAGTTCGAGCTTGTAGCCGTGCGCCTCGCTCCAGCCCAGGGGGAAGATGTCGTGAGACCTGGGAGATAAAGGTTTCTGGGTGCTTCTCGTACATAATACATCTTATTATTAATTTATTACTTATTATAGGGGGTAGCTAAATTCTTCTTAGAATTTAGTGCACTTGCCAAAAATAAAATAACATTCCTGTTGGTCTCCGCGTCGTCTGTGTGAAGCCGAATTCAACTCGAAGGGGAAAGGAGCTAGAGCTTGCTCTCTTCGGATTCGATAGAGCGCCGTCAGAACCCCCAAACTGTTTACGGTTTTTGTTTTTATTAATTAACTTTGAAGTGGCGCCTTATAAGAGTGGGGCCCCTCTCCCGGGGGCCACGCCCCCTTTCTCTTCGCCCCTCTTCCCCGGCCCCTTCGCGCCGTGCCTTTTGGTTCTTTCTTCTTTTTTTGTTTTTTTTTATTATTTAAGTATCTGGCCATCGGGAGGGTTTGGTGTTTTTGAAGGGTTTCGCCATGGGGGTTCTGGCCATCGGGAAGGGTTTAGGTAGTTTTTGAAGGGTTTCAGCCATGGGGGTATCTGAGCCTCAGGAGGTATTTGGTGTTTTTGAAGGGGTTTCAGCCATGGGGGTATCTGAAGCCATCGGGAAGGTTTAGGTGTTTTTGAAGGGGTTTCAGCCATGGGGGTTCTGAAGCCATCAGGAAGGTATCTGGTGTTTTTGAAGGGTTTCAGCCTGGGGGTATCTGAGCCTCAGGAAGGTTCTAGGTGTTTTTGAAGGGTTTCAGCCATGGGGGTTCTGAGCCTCAGGAAGGTTCTGGTGTTTTTGAAGGGGTTTCAGCCATGGGGGTATCTGAGCCATCGGAAGGTTCTAGGTGTTTTTGAAGGGGATTTCAGCCATGGGGGTTCTGAAGCCACAGGAAGGTATCTAGGTGTTTTTGAAGGGGATTTCAGCCTGGGGGTTCTGAAGCCATCGGAAGGTATTTAGGTGTTTTTGAAGGGATTTCAGCCTGGGGGTATCTGAAGCCATCAGGAAGGTATCTAGGTGTTTTTGAAGGGGATTTCAGCCATGGGGGTATCTGGCCATCAGGAAGGTATCTAGGTAGTTTTTGAAGGGGATTTCAGCCTGGGGGTATCTGAAGCCATCAGGGGTATCTAGGTGTTTTTGAAGGGGATTTCAGCCATGGGGGTATCTGAAGCCATCAGGAGGTATCTAGGTGTTTTTGAAGGGGATTTCAGCCATGGGGGTATCTGAAGCCATCAGGAAGGTATCTAGGTAGTTTTTGAAGGGGATTTCAGCCATGGGGGGTATCTGAAGCCATCAGGAAGGTATCTAGGTAGTTTTTGAACGGGATTTCGGCTATGGGGGGTATTGATGGAGGTGGGAAAGGATGTGGTGGAGTCGGACTGTAGGGTAGCCCGAAGGCCAGATGGTTGCAGTCGCGAAGCGACTGTAACCATCTGGTATTTACTGTTTTCATAGCAAAAATGGTCAAAAATTAGTACAAAACTCAATTTTTTTAAAAGATTCTATTTTTGTCGCTATCGGAGCCTACCAAAAACACGGTTAACCCATTTCAATCCTCAGTTGTTGGATATTTCCCCCCAAAAAAAACGCAAAGTACCTATTTTCGCAACAAAACTTTCCATAACCTACCGATAATCAAACAGCTGGTTGTAGGTGGAATCCCATCCATCGTAGCCAATCTCCAGCAATCGTCCCTTGATGGCGACGATGTGGGCCGGGCAGATTAGCTGCGACTCGTTCAGGTCGGACGCCTCCAGCGACGCACCAATCTAAACGCACAAAAAAAATTAAAATTACAGTACGACTTACCGGAAACTTCTCAGCCATCTCAGCGGCCAATGGGACGTGCGGGAAGAGGAACTCGGGCGCAGCGCTCGCCTGGGTTTGCTTCAGGTAGCTGTTCCAGTCAAATTTCTTGGCGTCTAAACATTATCGTCAAGGCCAAAATCGTAGACAAACCGGAATTGCTTGGTGGCACGAGTTTAATTCCGTACTTCTTTGCGTAGCCGACTGGGAATAGAAAGTTGGAGGTGCAGTGGAAGGGGATGGCCTCGCGCTCCTGGTCATCGCCATCAGCTCCAACGACGATGTAGCCGCGCTGGAAAGGAAGGAATTTCATTCTTTTTCTTCATAGCCCAGATTTGTCGCGAGACGGCCGGATATTAATATTTTTTGATAAGGCTCAAGTCTAGGAAACCCCCCCCAGCCGACTTTTCACTTTTCTCCTTCCTTTTTTTTCGCTACTTTTTGACTGAACTGTGTGTCTTACTATTGCCTACGGCGAACTTTTGGTATACTTTAGGCTCGCGTACAAGGGGGCCGAGATACAGTTGGTGCCGGCTGGGGGTTTGACTCTTACCTTTGATAACATGTAGCTTTATTAAAGTGTCACTACTTGAACCTAAAAAATGATTCAAAAAAATTGAATTTCCGCCCGAAAAAATGGAATTTTTGGTCGCAAAACGATGGAGGTCATACTTTTTGATTCAAAATTGTAATTTTGAGGAAGTGTGAAAATGTAGAATGAAATAAAGTGTAGAACACTTCCTCAATTTACATTAAAAGAATCGGATACCAAGTAAAAGGCTGCCCCCCCATATTCCGAAAGACATGAAATTTTATCACAAAATTAAAAAAAAATTATTTTCAAAAATAATGCACCTTGAGGATGTTGATGACGGTGGCGACCTTCAGCTGGTTGAACGTAGTGTCGAGCGGGTCGAGCAACTCCAATTTCATGCCGACGTCGAACTGAACCTGCACGTATTGCTTATGCCAATGTCCGGACCCGGGCTATAGAGCGCAATTAGGATAAAGCATACCGCCTTCGGATCGCTCGATTCCGTCCACTCCATCACCGTCTCAGGCCGCACATCCGATCCACTCCAGTCTGGCTCAACTCCCTGAAGCCGATTCGTTAGCTCTATACGGAAAATTTACCTTGGAAAGCGCGCCAGCTACCTCGGCGGCGTGTTTAGTGTATGCGTCGCGCGCGTACAAGGTGTAGTCGTTGAGATGGGCCCAACCGACGTGGAAGATGAAGTAGGACGACTGGTCGCACCAGAAGTCGCTTTCATACTATAAAAAAAGAGCTTTAGTTCAAGTGGAAGTTAGGAAATCATTTAAAAAAAAATTTATAAACTAGATTTAGAACTTAGAAAATTCTCAAAAACATGAAATTTTGGGTCGGAAGCCGATATGTTTGTATTTTTTGGTAAAAATGTCTAAGGTTTCAAATTCTAGAAAGACGCCGGGCAGCGAAAATGGACAAACCTGACGCTCTTCGCCTATGTCTTCAGCATGCGGGTCATGCTTGCCGTCGCAATCAGTAGATTTCACCTAAGATTAAGAAGAGTTTTCAGTAAGTAACGTTTTTTTACCGTAAGACAAACGCGGCGGCCAACGGTCTTAACGACTGTAGCTGGGCGCACCCGAGTGGACACTTGGTTGTCGAGAAGTTCGACCCGTTCGCCAACCTGCAACAAAATCTACTAAAAAAAGCAAACGGCACACCTGTAGCTTGCACTTGGTGACCTGGCGCTTGAAGGTTTCGAACTGACGCACCACAGTGCGAAGCGGCGACAACTTTTCCACCTAAAATTATTAAATTTAACTATTTATTGTTATAGGTGAGTTTGACGTATTCTATAAAACCGTAATCTCACGGTGCTGACTTCAAAACCCACAAAAAATGATGGCCAATCAGTCCTTCGATCGAATAAGAATTGAGGCGGAATGTAGAAAGCGCCATTGGGCCGGTTCTCGCTCCTAAAAACGAATGGATGCGAAAGTTTCACTAAAACATACGTCCATCCGATGCGGTGAATGTCAGCTGAGCAAAAGTTGACCCAAAAGTCGTGCTCCGATTCGTCTTCTTCACAACCAATCCAGCGCATCAGCACGCGATAGCCACAGACCTGAATTCGGGGAATCTCACGAAAAGCTCGGCTACAATTACCTTTCGCGCGGTGGCCACCCAGGTCGCCTTGACTTTCGGATCGAGCGTCCGATCTGAGGGAAGGCTTTGATGCTCGATTTCAAGCTAAAAACACATAAAGTCACAATTACCTCAGAATACTCACCGCTATGTCACTCTTCAGGTTATGGATGAGCTCGCCGAAGCTGACATCATCGAAATGGCGCACTTCTACCACAGCTTTTGATGTTTCACCTTTTACCAATTCTAAATCGGGTTTGCATCTACCAGCATAAGGCCCCACCTCCCAACTTCTCTTCCCATGTATAGGCATCGGCTAGTGCTTTCGCGGCCTTAAAGCCCTTTGTGAGCTCCACCGGGTGGAACTGTACCATGCTAAAAAAAGACAGTCTGGCATCCAATCTAAGCAAAATAGCGAGAGAGCAAAAATACGAAAGAGTTTTTGAAAAGGCTCCAAATCGCGGACCGAATCTGGGGCGACCTTATCGGTTGCTGTTTTACCACACACTCTCTGTGGAACTAGGTGCGGCATGGACCCGTACTTCGAGGGGAAAAAGGCGAAAAAATTATTCTTTGCCTTTTGAAATCAAAACTCGTGAAATGTCAACTTCACGCCTTCTCCCGAAGAGACCTCTACAGCTTTACGCCCGCCATGCGTCGCTTCAGGCGAAGGCTTCTTCTTCTTCTGCTCAGGTTGGTATCCTCGGCGCGCCAGCAAATTAAAATTCCGGGCATTCCCCGCTCGCAGCGAATTTATTCCAAGTACTACTTCTTCCATTTTCAGATACAAACACCCTACGCCCTTTTCCCGACTGCCGTCACGGCGGCGCCGCATTTCGACCTGAGCCGCACGGTGAACACGAGCATTGCCGAACTTTATTACCGGCGGGTGGAGCCCGAGTATTCTAGAGAGAGCTTTCTACAAGGCGCCATGGAGGTTGGATTCAAGAATTGTGCTGTATTTGTTTTAGGCCGCGTCAATTGCCAGCCAATACATTGTTGACAAGAACTGGAATGGCCTCTCGAATATATGCGTTACCGACTTGGTGGATATGATTCGAGAGCGGTGTGAGGCAGAAAGCGCTCTGATTCCTAGGTAGAGTGGTTAGATTAATTATCGAACTTGACTTGATGGTTTTTGACGTTTTGCAATTTTCAATTTTCCTTTTGTAGAATAGCTCCGGGTGATGTTCTGTGCAGCTACCTTTACTCAGCGCTCATTTCCGGCAAGCAGATCTATCGCCGTACGTTATTACGTTTTTCGACTTTATCCGGTCATTTAGTAAATCCTGGAAACACGAATATCTACTTGACTGCGATGGTCTTTTGCCGAAATCATCCAGATGTGCCCCAAGATTTGTCGCTGAAGAAATACTTGGCAAAATATTACAAAGAAATAACCGTCTGTCATATAACGTGAGTTTCATATACTCTATGCAATCCATTATTTAGTTTTGCGCGTGCGATAAACCCGCCCGGAATCTGGAAGGCCACACAGCTCAACTACTTTAATCTCATTTGATTGCGCTGCATGTTTTGTTAGGAATAAATTAGTGAGTTTCTTTTTTTTTGAAAATACATGACAGAATATACAAACATTCTAGTTTTTCAGTGCAGACAGTTATGTTTCAAACTTTTTGCCATTATTCATGCAAAGCTTTCCTCAAGCCCTTTTTTCGGGGCCCGAGTTTCGCCGCTCGCTCATTTAAAATGGGGGCCCAAATGGGTGTAAGGGGCCCGTATGCCCGCGTCCACTATCAAATTTCCCTGCTCCCTCGCGGCCACACACTTCTCATTGCGCCTGCCCAGGCAGCGGCCTTTGATTGATCCCCCGCACATGGGCCCTTAGCGTATTACGCTCAGAGCGCATTAGCTCTCAAGCCCTACTTTATACGATATACATTTGCTAAAAAAATGATGAACGTACTATTTAGGTATGGACGATGATGGTTTCGACTATTTGTTTAAAATTGTCTTAATCGGGGATATGGGCGTGGGGAAAACGTAAGTTGCTCTTTGTTTGTTTATGCAATTTGGTATTGCTTTAGTTGTGTAGTTCAACGATTTCGCAATGGCACATTTGTCGAAAGACAAGGCACCACGATCGGCGTCGACTTCACCATGAAAACTGTGATTATTGATGGTAAGCGGTAAAATGTTCTTAGCCCAAAACCGGTTATTTTCCAGGAAAACGGGTCAAGCTTCAAATCTGGGATACTGGTGGCCAGGAGCGCTTCAGGACGATCACACAGAGTTATTACAGGTACAGATATTACCACAAGCCCATTTTCCGTTTTTCTAGATCAGCGAATGGAATAGTGCTTTGTTACGACATCACGTGCCAACAGTCGTTTGAAAGCCTCCACAGATGGATCGACGACGTCTCCAAGTTTGCCGCCCCAAATGTTGTCAAAGTTTTGATAGGTAAGGAGTGCATCGAATTTCGACAAATTCCTGTCTAGGCACCAAGTGCGATCTGGAGGAGAAGCGGCTAGTCTACCGCGAGGATGGGGAGCATTTACAGCGATCGCAGGGTAGGATTCGTTTAGAAAATGCTGTATTTTGATCTAGGGATGGTTTCCTTCATTGAGACCTCGGCCAAGGGCAACGTTAACGTCGATTCGGCATTTATGGAACTTGCAAATGTGTTGAAAAAACAGGTAAGAGCGATCTGCGTCAATACAAGTTTTCTGAGTTATTATTTGTTTTTGTTCTGAACACTCTAAAAACGTAATGCGCGACCAAAATAGCGGGGGTCTTTTTGCCATTAATCCGGAGATCGTGTGTTTCCGTATTTTCCAAATCCTGTTTTTAACATAAGTGGTGGTATCGGTATATGCTGATGGGATCTTCAAACATTCAAAACTTTTGCTAGACTTTTACAGTTTTGTACTGTAAAATAACATTATTTGTAGCTTAAAAGTGGATAGAACTCAGCGCACAAAACTACCTCAGTAAAGCCGTTACCTAACTGCTGATTATCCTCAAATTTTTTTGAATGGCGCTGAACGCTTTTGCAGGGTTTTTACAAAACTTTGCGCATGCAATTCACACATCAGCTTTTCAGTACGATGCCACCGCCCATCTCGACCAAACGCCAACGACTGGCGGCTTCCGCCTCGGTGCTGCCGGCTCGACCCCGATCCTGTCGCGCTGGGACCAGTGCTGTAAATGGAATTGACCATTGTAATTAGTCGGAAAGTTTCTAATTTCTCAACCATGACGTTGTTCATGCTGTGAACACCAAAGATTAGTCAGGCTAGATCTCTTCCATTTTGCCATCAGCCCTCAGACGTTGCCTTTCACCACCACCCGTTCTCTTATCCCGGACAGCCACGAATGCTTAGGTTTTCACTGTCGTGCATTATTTTTTGGCTATTAGCAATATCGCGTGCTACTTTAATTTCAACGATCCCAGGCCGTTGACCTCTTATTTTAAGCCCAACCCCGCCCGAATGTATCCCCTTCACTGTCCCGATCCAATTTTGTACACCTTACAATATGTAATACCATTCCGTGCATAATAAACATCTTGAAATCACTTGTTATTTTGCGGTGTGAATTCGTGGTCTATTACCAGAAGGATATTATGGCGTTTGAGTTTAGAATCGTCACCATCTGGTCGATTTTAGCTCGATGACTGAGCTTCTTCTCGACCCTGCCCTCAGAACATGGGTTTTCATGCCCATCGTCGTCATCACGTTTATGATAGGCGTGCTGCGGCACTATGTTTCTTTGTTGTTGATGAGCAAAAAGAAGGTATGTAATACACTATTTACTAGCTGAGTTAGGCATTCACGACTTGGTCTCGGCCATAAGATCGTGTAAAAAGCATGTGACACTTGTTTTGCAGATTGAACTCGACCAAGTACAAGACGGGCAATACTTGATACGTTCTCGCCTCCTGCGTGAGAATGGGCGATTCCTGCCACGTTCCTCCTTCCAAATGCGACGTCAGTTCTTGGCTCACGAGGAGAATGGATATCTATCAAAGGTAATTTCTTGCCAAGATCTCTGATGGCTGTGTTCAGGCGATGAAACGCCCCTCGCGCGCTGCCAACCCGATGGCTGACCCGTCGGCTATGACCGAAATGATGAAGGGAAACATGTTGAACATGGTGCCGATGATTGTCGTCGGAGGATGGATCAATTGGACGTTTTCGGGATTCGTTACTACTCGCCTGCCATTCCCGCTCACCCTGCGCTTCAAGCCGATGCTCCAACGCGGTGTGGACCTTATTTCGCTCGATACGGCCTGGGTATGTGTTTCTTCTATGGGGTACAAAAGAATATTAGGTTTCTTCGGCTTCTTGGTATTTCCTCTGCGTCTTCGGACTTCGATCGATTTACACGCTCGTTCTCGGGGAAGAAAATGCTGCCGACCAATCCAAGGTTCGTGATTTTTTTGAGATTACCTATCTTATTATGCAGCAATGCACTGCGAAAATTACTTATCGCCACCCATTGAGTTCTTTATTCTAGATGATGGAAGACCAAATGGCCGGACAAGCCATGGCTGCCCCACAGGACCCAAAAGCTGCCTTCAAAGGCGAGTGGGAGGCCCTGACGATGCATCAGCATAATTTCGCCCTACGGGAATAGCCATCGGAAGATCTCATCTTTTGTGCTTCGTGGTTCATAGTTCTATCTGTGATTCCTTTTTTTTTGTTCGAATAAAATACCCGTAAGTACAGCTTTATTGAGATCAGGCGCAAAAATCGAGGAGAATTTGTGGGAGGACACGCTGCAAGTCGACAATTGTGACGTCTTCGCGGCCGGCTTGCGTAGCGATTGCAGCAGCGCGTCGCAGCATTTCCTGAAAAGCGCGAGAAGAACGGTAGAAAAAATATAGAACTGCCCGATATGGAAAACGAGGCTCACCTGAAGCATGGTATTCGTCATTGCCGTCAGCATGGTGAGCGCGGGCTTGCTGACTGTTTTCGGCTTCCGCTAAATAAATTGTAGGGTAAAAATAATGAAAAAATACCTTCGTTCTTGCGACAGAGATTGAGAGCATCGCGCTGACTGCGGATTCCTTCACGCGGTTTGTGCCTTTCTGAGGAGCCATTTCTATAAGCAGCTTACTGAATTATCTGAAGCTGCGAAGGTAGCCCGGTTTCTAACACCTTGTCCCTCACTTCCAAAGCACATCGATACTGTTTATTTCACCGTAAATTTAGAGGAAACTGGATAGACCCGTATCACAACACAACAACAAAAACAACACGCCTGGCTTGCGTCTGTAACGCGGAAACAGCTGAGGATTTGCAAGAAAAACAAAACCACGACAAATTTGACAATGACCTACTGGCAGCAACAATGATAATGGAATACCTCGGAAAAATCGTGAGATTGGAATCGCATCAAATCCTTCTCATGACCTCCCGAGCGCCGCATATTCGTCCAACGATGCCAGCACCAGGTCAATGTGGGCACGCACTTGACACGACAACTTGTCGGCCTAGACGTAAAAAGTTAGCTAATCAATCCCTCATTCTTACCTGCTCAGCCCTCTCCTGCAAAACAACGACTCGTTTTTCCACAAACGCTGTCGCACGCTCCAGCGGCAGCTCGGCAAAAAGGTTGTCGATCAACCGGACGACAATCTTATCGTTGGAATCACTAAACGAAGCCCGTTTTGGAAGGCGCAGAAAAACTGACGCGACGGCCTTTGCGAAGACGTGCTTCCCAATGTTGACCAGGGTTTTTAGCCGAGCTTCCGGCGTTTCCTTCTAGAAACTGGGGGATGTTGATGAGGTAAATTCTTACCTTCAGTCGTTGCATCGTTGCGATCGTCACCAGCAAGGTCTCATAGTCACGTATTTCGGCGACAATCTTTTCACGTTGTTCTATCGCCTAAATCGTGTTGATAGGTTAGTTGGGATTAGGCACCTTGGCATAATCCGGTCGCAATCGTTCGTTGAGAAACTGCTCAAATTTGTCAATAGTCAATGGGGCGTCTGACGAGGTGCTGGCCATCATTCGCTTCCTGATTGAAAATTTGGTTCATTCGCATTATCAGAGGAAGCATTTTTTGCATAAGTTTAGAAATGAAAATTTATTGTATGTTTTTATAAAAACTGTAAAGTTTTACGCTTAGGATTAGTAAACTACCGTAAAAAAGCATATCCGCTATTTATATATTGAAAAATTGGGTCCTAAGAAAAAATTTGTCGTACTATAATGCGACAGAAGCAAAAATTTTATGTTCTTCGCGCTCGAGGCTTTCCAGAAATTATTAGGCTATTTTTGGCCTAGGAAATTTCCGATTGCTCGACCAGGCAAAAAAATCCTTTATCGAAAATAGATGAGAATTTCTCATGATGTACAGACTAGAAAAGGGTGAGTGCAGCCGTTTGGCCCGGCATCCAATATGGGAAGTTTGGAGGGTCACAACAACGGTCGGGCGGAGAACAACGGTGGTAAGTATTTGGTAATGGACAAGATGGGTGTGGGTTGGAAAAGGCATAAATACCCAAAGCAAAAAACCCGTGCTTAAAGGGGGGAAAAGGAAAAAATCACAGTGTATCATCGATACAGGAGATGAAATCTGGGCGCAAGTAGGTGGCGACGATGGTGGAAAAGTGGGAGAAGGTCTCCATAATGTCCTGGCGGGGGAGATCAAAGCGGTACATCAGGTCTTCGACGTGGTGTGAGCCGTCGAGCAGGGGCGCTAGCTGGCAGAAATGACGGATGCGGGATTCAACCTGGAAAATTAGTGGTATACCGTATTCCCTCTAATACATATGGTCTCCGGGGTTTTTCTATTTTTTTTCAATCACATGAAAGGAGGGAGCTATTTTTTTTTGGAAATGTCATTGATTTTTATTATATTTTTTCCGAAATTGCGTAAAAGCAATCAGAGTCATAGCGCAAATTTGAAACAAATGCATTTTTTCGAATCTTTTGGTAGCTTCAATGCAATTTTGGCAAAAATGGAGGCATGTGAGAGGAATACTGTGGTTAAAAAGGCCCTTTAATACAATACTACCAACCTCAGCCAAACTCTCGGTGAGCAGCATCTGACCGCAAATCTTTTTCAGCTGCACCTTCACCTCGGCCGGGATCCCGCTGACCGGGGGGACGCGCTGAAACTTCATATTTGGTAAACGTCAGGAAGTTACCTCCATTCTGCGTAATTTCACCGGTGGCAAGGCCCACGGCTCTGTATCTTCTTCGCTCTTCTTTTCCTCGGCCACATTCGAGTCGACGTCAAGCTGTTCTTGGAGTTCGATGTCGCCGGAGGAAATCCCATCATCGGCGTCCTCAATGTCGGCGTCGGTGCCGTCGTTGTAATTCTATAAAAACATTTTTTATCAGTTTCGCAATCCGAACCTGCGGTGGTGAAGCGGTCAAAGTCATGGACATCCTCCTGGACGGCGACGCACTGTCCTTCATCGTGTCTTCTATAGTTGACATCTCGGACGACGTGTTGGCCGGGAGGGCGAGGGTTTGCTCGTCAGCCTGCTCTTCACTTTCCCCGATCGCTTCTGTCGGTTCGACGGGGTCGATGCCGTCGCAGAGCTCGTCTTCGATTTCGGATTGTGGGCCCGAAAAGTCGTTGACCATAAAGTCTTCCGTCATCTCCTCGGCTCTGCAATTGAGGAGGGTAAAGAATATTAAGCAAAAAGCAAGCTTTCCCTCATAAAGTTTAAAAATCCAAACCTTGAGAGCGGAGTCTCGTCGTCAAGCAGCTCGGAACGAGGGCTATGATTGGAGCCAGAGTATGCCCGACGGGAGTCCCTATCATAATCAACGGACTCATCGTCAGAAAGCATGTAGCGACCGGGGCCTGGCCGGAAATGGTTTCCCAGCGATTCGGGGGAGGAAGTGGGCGGGAAGAGGATAGCCATTTGAGCCGCGTTCAGTATCGGGATTTGTTTTAACTCTTCCTCGGGGAGCTCGGCGAGTCTCCTGAAAATGAAGAATTACATGTACCATTATGAACCTGGTTTTAAACTTTTCAAAAAAATTTTTAAAAAACTTTTTTTATTTTTTTTTTTTTTAAAAACTTTTTCTTAACACAGGAACATACCGATGAATCTCAGCATTCAATTCTTCCGCCTGCATGTTCTTCTTCCACCTACGCGGATCTTCCGATTCGCGGTGATGGTGATGATGGCTGATGATTGGGATAGGAGCTTCTACGTCCGAGTCAATGTCCGAACTCGAGTCCGTGAGATCTTCCGGTTCTGGCTCGTCGTCGGGAAGAGGTTCGTGGGGATGGATCGCCGTCGGCACCTGAAATACAGACACTTAATATTCCATTAGCGCAATTTCCTACCTCGTCTATCATTGCACAAATCGATGCCGGGCACGGTGCATCCGGGATTTGATCGTCGGTGCTGTACGGCGGTAACAGGTAGGCAAAAGTATGCAGCTAAATAGACATCTTCCTTTATAGCAATTGATGCTGGACAACCTGCATTAACAGCTGATGTCTGAGCAGATACACAACAATTCTCGTCTTGACTTGTTGCTCGACCAACGGGCCCAGCGGCTCTACGTATCTAAAAATGTATGCTGAAGTCTAAACCCGAAGGACCTACTTATCTAATTGGATCGGCGGGTTGAAATAAGACAGCGTGCGTCCTAGGGTATCCAAGTGCCCGAAGAATTTGTTGAAGCGTTTGTTTTCTCTAAAAGATGGTGGCGTTGACAAAATATCCAGAAAAAATAAAATGAAAAGCTTGCATTGGGGATCCCTTAAATTTCAAAAATGGGAGACCTTTCTAAGTCCTTATTCGTGGTCGCGCTTGAATAGACATTTGTGTTGACGATCGGATAGATGACGACGGCACGGGCCCAGATTAGCAGGTGGCGTACGACCATAAGCACCTGAAAAGATAAAAGGTGCTTTTTTTGGCGAAACCTGTATTAATGGAATGCCGCTTGCAGTGCTGATGTCCAAGATCGAACGATCTGGATCACAATGGCGAATCATTAGGGCCACGTTCGGGTTCGAATCTGGCGATGGTGTCACATCCTAAAAAAACTATCGTCAGAATTTGATGAATCAACCTCTAGTAAAAGGACACTGTGGTACGGCCTGATCCGAGAAACGAGCCTGTCGATTTCTACGGCCGAACGGGGCGTCAGGTGAGCGTGTTCCAGAGCACGGGCCTCCAGGCAAAACCCGATCTCGATAAAGTTTTCCATGAATACCTAGATTCCGAAATCCTTTAAACCAATGAAAAACATACCTGCACTACACCAGTTTTGTGCAGATCCTCGAAGACTTGAGAAAGCAAGGCCGCCAATTTGGACGTTTTTCGAACCTGAAACGCGTTTCCTCAAAAATAAAGATACACCCGCACCTTTTCCCATGGCAAATACCGCGCTTCGTTCTCTGGAATCCGACGAAAATCTTCCAGAACGTAATGGATAGCTTTGTACTAAATTTCCTTCACGAGGAGGTCAGCACGCCTACCTCTCGGTCCAAATAGTTGCTAATTTGCTGCAGGGAGTCGATTGCATATGCTATTTTTCGGCTGAGGCACTGAAAGAGGCTGTAGGAAGTTTTAAGAGTGAAAACCTGGAATCTCTCAATGAGATGGTAAGAGGTGCCCTCCGGGAGAACGAAGGCAATGTGAACACCGTCCAATTGCTCTTCCATCAGTGCTGGTGCAGGGGTGGCTGCGATCGACTTTGGGAATCCGACGTATAAAAGGCGGCCAAGCTAAGAAAGACCTATTTAGCGCAGCCAAAATCACCTTCATCTCAAACGGCATGTCATTCGCCGACTCTTTTACACACAAAATATTCGACAGCATCTCCAATGATAGGCCAAATGGGGTCCTCATTGATTCCTTGACATCGCGGAATCTAAAAATGAAAAAAAGTCGCTGCTTCCAAATGGCTAGTTGACTCACTTGTTTACAATGCGTTTCGGACAATCTCTTCGTGTTACCACGGTCATACTGTTGATCGCTAAAGGAAGTTTTAGAATCGAAAGCTTGGCACCTAACCTTCTTCTCGATAGAGGTTATTCATGGAATGAATATACAGAATGTCATTGCTGCTCATACTACCTCGACAGGCGAAGATCACCGCCAATGGACTCTACAAGGAAGTTGGTTCAGATGATTGTCAGAAAAGCCTCACCTTCCCTTCAATCCTCGCCGGCGGTGGCCGTTGAAAGGACCCCGAGGCATAATGTACCCGTGCCATGCTAGGATCATTCGTTTGATTATCTGTCGACGATTCAAGAATTCAAGTAAGGCTTCTGTTTCTGACATCCGCGCATTTTTACAGCCATACAGAGACCATTTATTCAGAGATCGACGGAAATTGACTTTGGCATCATGGCGAAGCGGTAAAGCAGGTTAGAACATGAAAGCAAAATAAAAATGGAGCAATGTGGTTGGCGAGGGACGTGAGCTTCGGTATTTACGATTAATCGGAGAGCTCGGCGTCGTCATCATAGATCGAATCGCCGAAGGCATTGCGTGTCAAAGAGATTTGTTTTCTAAAGCAAGGACATCATTAAAAATTCGAAGCGTGACTACCTGAAGAGGAATTGCATGATGTGCGTCTGATTGTAGTCATCAGGGAGTTCAGAGTCGATCTTCAAGAAATTGCCGACGAGCACTGATTTTTCCCAGACTTGAAGGCAGGGCACGCCTTTTGCTTGCTAAACGGGCTATAACACAGTACAAGACAGATACATACAAAGCCTTCAGAAAGTCCCAGCAGCGAAGCTCGGCCTCGAAGGAATTTGATGTGAGGGAAGTCGCTGGCCAAAATCTAAAAGTTCCGATTCACTATTTCTACATTCAAACCCACCTTGAAATAATGAGTAAAACGGATGCAGCTCTCAACCCCCGGTTCGTGCAACAAGATTAGCACAAGACCCGCATTCTTTGTTTCAGAGGCGTCGATATATTGGTCCTAATAAACAATATCATAAGGATTTTGTAAAATACCTTGTGCGCGAGTTCCACTACAAGCCCGGTGAGGGCCTTCCTCATCTCGTCGAGTCGTCTGGCACGAAGACTTTCCAAGGCGTCCTCATCCTCCTCGGCATCTTGTTTTTGTAACTGAACCTCAGGAGTCTTGGAAATCACAAAGAACCAAACCTGCTCCCGCTCCTCTTTGCTCGTCTGGAGCATGCCGCGTTCAGCTTCCCGTCGGAGCGCCTTTTCCTTCATTTCGCGCGCGAACTTCACCTCTTCTCTTAAAAAATGGCATAAAGGTGTTATCCAAACAAACCTAAAGTCAGCAAAATCAGATAGAACGCCCTTTGCGCCGGTGTTTCTGTTCCCGAATTTCTTCATGACCTTCTGCTGGTGATCATCCTCATCTTTCGCGACCTAACAAAGGTTTAGGTCAAGTAGATCGCCGAGATGTACCTTCCATCCGCCTGCATCCTCCTCTCCCTCTGAACTGCTGCAATACCCGGCTTGACCACCATCCAATAGCTTTGATTCTAGACTAGCCATTCTGAAAGATGCTTCTAGTCATAGTAAGACGATAACGATAACAAGTACAAAGATAGCAAAGTTGTATAACTTCAAAACAAAACTTTCAAAAAGAAAATGAGCAAAAAATATTTATCACCCGTGCACGTTCAAATACTTCGAAAACTAGCTAAATAATTCACAAGCACACTCGAGTAAAAAGGTATCACTGAAATAGAAATCTATAAGGCAAGGCGGCGGGCTGTTCATTTCTTCTTGAGCAGCGGTTCAAACTTCATAATCTTCTCGCGAACCTGAATGAAATGGGTGGAAGCGTCGTGGTATCCTTACCTTTCCACGTTGCTGCCCATTCCTCCGCTCTTCTTCGTCGATGGCCAACCACTCCTTCCAGGTGATGAATCTGACGCCGCGTGATTCGAGTAGCGGAGTGACACCTGGGCCTAGAAAAAAGTTGGTCGTAATTTTAACAACACGAACTCGTCTCCGGGCGATTAGGTAGAATTTCTGCGATACGCTGGGCGACGGTCATCGACTGTTGTTGGGTGTCGACAATTACACCATGCGGTCCCTGAGCACACCTAAACGATACAATAGATCTTTCGGTGTATAAAGGCTGAATTTACCATCCCGCAGCAAATGTTGGCGCCGGATCAAAGTCCACCCGGCAATCGTCACATAATCTCAAGGCGCCCTAAAACTCGTCTTAAAAATTATGTTATTAATACCTTGTCGTTAGTCGGCAACCCCTCCAAGACGATGTGGTTGTAGCCGATGCTGTAGATTAGCAGCTCACAAGCTAGATCCTCCTTTTTGCCGGTGATTTTATCGAGGAAACGAACGCTCTAAAAAGCTTGCAAAAGTGTTGTATCATAATTAAAGCTTACCTTCACTCTGCCGTTTTCATCACGGAATACTTCGATTGGAACGTGATTGAAAATAAAGCGACAATTCTTTTCCGCCTTGGCCTCATGCCCAATGTTGTCGAGTAATATCTAAAGCAACCTGATAATCACACCAAAAAAATTACCTGAAACATCCGCTTCTTCCTCTTGACATCCAATGATTTAACGAGGCCAGCTTTTTCTTCCTCACGCAAGGCGACAATCGACGACCAAGACTTGATCTTGAACTGCTCGCGCAACTCTTTGATCGTGAAGGAAACCTAGCGAAGGCTGATTAAATAATTAATGTGGAACTCACATTTTCGGGCCCTCTCCGTCCAACCAGCGTGATATTCGAGACCTTCGATTTTTCCAAAACCGCCAACGGCTCTTCCGGAATATCAGTTGAGGCGAGATTTTCTACCGACGAGAGTATCCGAGCGCAATCGAGCGCCACATTCCCGTTGCCTAAGCGACTGTTGGGGAAATATTTTTTGCTTACCAATTATGACTACATTTTTCCCGTCGAGCACTGGGGGAGATGCATTGGGCACACCGTTATACCAGGAGACAAAGTCAGATCCTAAACAAGCGGTTTATAACGAAAATGAAACACACCAGAGATCACATTCTTCGCTTCGGCGCCCGGTACTTCGAGCCGCCGGGGCCGATGAGCGCCATATGCTAGGAGGATCGCGTCGTATGCGGCCGCCAATTCCGAAAAAATAGACAGTAAATAAAAATAGCCAGGCAAATACCTGGAAAGTAACGTCACTGCCCACGCGTACATTACAGAACAGGTTCATCTGCGTTGGGTGGTCGTTGAAGATCTTTTCGAAGCCATTGATGCAATTTTTAACCTGAAGACGGGTTGAAGGATAGATGAACGAGGTAAACCTCTTGATGATCCGGGGCGACACCATAGCGAACGAGCCCGAACGGAACGGGCGCCGCATCGAGCACGTCAATTACAGCGGTTGGTGCTCGTCGAAGAAGCCCCGCGCATGTGAATAGGCCTGTAATGACAGTTGATGTTTGTTATCGACTGGCATACCCGCAGGGCCACTGCCAATCACCGCCACTCTCGGCGCATTACGTGCCGATGAGGTCGAAAATAATCTGTATCCTCTTCCATAGATCCTGAGCATCAACTAGAGACCATAAATTCAATCTCAGCTTTTTCAGAATTCATGGTCAATCCATTCTTTTTGCAGACTAGGTCAAGAATAATCTTTATGTCGAACACCTTAGGACCCATACACCGATCACGTTTGTCAAAAATCAAAAAAGGGTAACAAGAGGCGGAATTGTAAGTGAGGATTTGCTAGGCGGTGGCACGATGAAGCATAATGTGGACGGCGGAGACAGGGCGAGTGCGCACACTGTTGAAGTATTGTTTTTTCGTCGGATCTGCCACGCCTTGAATCCCTGGAACCGGAAAGTCGGGGGCTACATCCGGCTCGTCTGGGAGTAAAGGCCTCCGTTGAATGTCCTCGCGTACCTTTAATAAAATTGAATGTTTGCTAGGAAATGTAAACAAGCAAAAAAACAGCTGCGAACGATAACTCACATGTTGCGTTCCGGTCTGTATCTGGAAATCGATGGAGCCGTTGTTCCTTCGTTTAATCTAATATTGTGATTGGGATAAATTAACAGTTACTTACCTCCAGTGCTAGCGTTAGAGCCCTATTCAGCACGGCGCCGGTACCGTGGAGGTATACTTCATCGAATCGATCTGCGAGTAACTCGTCGATCAACTTCAACTGCGCAGGGATGCACGTTTTGCTAAATATCAGCTACAAAAATAAGAACAAATTCTACTTTGTGATATAAAGATGATTGCGGCCGGTAACTGGCTTTGATGGGCGGCGTGGGTCGACGCGAAATTTGGCCGTGTCGATCCGATTTGGAGCTGGAGGCAATGGTTGTGCTGAAAAAAGCGATATTGCGCTTGATCCCGGAAAATAAAATACAATAAGCCCAAAAAAAAATAAGCGGACCTTTATGATTATCGGTAGCCGTCGATTCGAAACCCATTTCTTAGAAGAACAGCACCACTACGGCCATACAAAAGCAACTAGCGGCGACCCAAGGGCTAAGTCTCTCGCCGATCCGGGCAAACTTCCAGAAGACGCCGAGCAACCTGGCAGAAAAAAGTGGGTAAAAATTACAATGACGAACCCTTCCTTATTCCGGTCGATGATCCGCGGCGCAAATGCCCGGATGTAGGTGCAAGTGCAGATTAGGAGCAGGAATACGCAGATAAGGCTTTGGAAGTTGAAGATGGCCGACTGAAAAAAAATTATCTCAAATGGCGCCGCAAAATAGCTTACCAGTTTGACGGTTGCTCTCCCAGGCCGGGAGCTTGTACCTGAAAATACGGCGTTCTAATAAAACGGAGGGCTGAAATATCGATCGAACAAAATATTTATAAAGAAAAATCGGCTTCTATTGTTTAATCATAATTTTCGATTTACGCTATTTTAAAAATTCTAATAAAAAGTAAATACGGCGTAAAATAAAATCAATCAAGAGGCCCTACTCCATTACACTACTCTACGCGGGAGGTGTCATTCGGCGTTTTGCGGAGCTGAACTTCGTAATTTTCTCGAACTTTTTGCCTGCTTCTACCTAATCATCCTTTTTTATTTTATTTTCGTAAAACTTTTCATAAAGGTAGTGATTGAAAACGGTTTAAAAAATTGTTCCGTTTCGAATTTACAGTTAAAAAGTTTCTCCGCTCCTAAGGTCACTTTCATGGCTACCAAGCAGTTGAAGCTCACATGAAATCGTGGCTCGAACGGCTTGACCCCTTTACCACTGGCAATTGGCTGGTGTGTGTCCGCCGGCACCAACCGTAGTTTAGCACGCGTTGTCTGTCTCTGTTGTGCACTATCCCCCGGGGGCCGGGGTCGACAGACAGCCAGAGCGCCCTCTACCCGACTTTCTCCCGCACCACGGACCGTTCCGGTGCTGTGTGTACGATCAATCAAAGCGACACAGCAACGATCTCACCGTCGAAGGCCCCTTTTAGCGCCCCAGCCGGTCAATCAGGCCCACAAGGAGATGGTCGATCGGCTTGGTGAGTCAACGTTTGTCATCTTGTAAACAAGCTTCAAGTTTTTGTTAATTTTAGTAAAGAAATGCTAGATTAACTTGAGAGGGCGTAGTGAGTACTTTTGGATATCAGGTAACGCTGGCGGCAACAATTCAGGGTATATTTTCGGTGGGCTAGCCAATCAAAACAAATTGATATCGGTATAAGATCATATACCACTTTTTAGACCGGAAAAGCGTAGTTAGTAAGGTAACATTTTACGTAACCCTAGGCGCAATTATTTGCACGGATTGTTTTGGGTTAGGTACCCCCTACTAACAAGGCAATTATTAATTCAAAGAATTATACATCTTTCATTCTCCCCATTTCAGCTAATAGCGAGGTGAATGATCGGCGAATCTCGAACGTTGAGTCATGCTTTGGCACGAGCGGGCAGAGGCTCCGTGTGCCCGGCCGGGTACTCGTCGGCGAGGGAGTGCTTGTGAAAGTGTGCAGGTGAAATAACGAAATTCTCTTGTACCAAACCATGAACTCTTTCAGAAAAGACTCAAAGCAGAGGCAGTTCTTTCTCTTTAATGACGTGCTCGTCTACGGCAGCATCGTCATCAGCAAGAAGCGCTACAATAAGCAGCACATTCTCCCGATTGTCCACTTGAAAATGGAGGACTTAAGTGATGATGGGCGTGAGTGTTTTGCAACTAGCTTTCCAGGATGGTGATGGATCGTCTATTTTTCATCATGCGCATCGTCTTTCGGCGTAAAAATCGTTTAAAAATCGGTTTCAGGACTGAAGAATGGGTGGCTCATCAAATCGCCGTCGAAATCATTTGCCGTGTATGCCGCGACGCCGCTCGAGAAACAGGAATGGATGATGCATATTGATAGCGCCATCAAAAATATGCAAGCGGGTAGGTAGAAAATTCGCATATTAGGGTTCTTTCAAAAATTGACTATTTTGTTACTACCATTGCTAATCGTAAAAAGGCAAATTTTGTTACGCAAATACTGGAAATAAAGATTTGCGATGAAAAAGGTAGATGCTCGCTCAAAATCTCTGTTTTTAACGTTTTTCTAAGTTTACAAATAGTTTTTGCCCTTAACTATAGCTAATTTTATCTAAAGCAGAGTTGTTACCTTACAAGGGATATTTGGAATTTTAGAAGAGTGTAATTTTATAACTATTTTTCAAATTAGATTAAATTAAGCATTCTAGAGGTTTATTTCTTGAAGATTCAGCATTTTAGTCCTTTTTTAACTTTAAAAATAGCACACTGGCTTTAGGGAATACACAAGGCTCGCCGGCGACGGCCCCCGTTTGGATTCCTGATAATGATGCGTCAAAGTGCATGGTCTGCGAGCGGACCCAGTTCAACTTGATTCAGCGTCGGGTAGGTGAAGCTCACACGGCCACATGTTATAATATAGATCATATAATAGATAGATATAGATAATAAACATAATTTATCAAATATACATTTAAGTTTATTAAGTTGGATTTTTGTAAGGTGGTATAGATGACTCGATATATAATTTTAAATTCTCATCAAAACGCTCCTTTCAGCACCACTGCCGTAATTGCGGGGCCGTGGTGTGCGGTGGGTGTTCCTCGCATTCGTATCAGTTGAGCTCGGTGGGCAAGCGGCCGGTGCGGGTGTGTGATCGGGTTTGTTATCAGGGTTTTATTGTGCAATTTATGTTTAGTGCTTCAACAAGCTGATCGCGGGCAAGGCGAACAACCCGAACGTCGGGCCCCCATCTGATCAACTTCCGGCCGGCGAGGACGATTCGGAGAGCAGCGGGGATAGCGACCAGGAGTCGGAGCCGGCTGTGCAGACGACGGCGGTAGGGAAATTGGGGACATTTTTTCTTTGCTTTCCAATTTGGTGCTCGTTTGTTAGCGGGGGGAGTGGCTAATTTTTTTCCTAGCTTGCGATTGGCGCTCCCTAATGCAAAATAAGGTATTTTATAGCTTTAACGGCTAAAAAAACTGCCATTTTTTGGTTAAAAATTGGTAAAAATGGCGAGCATCGCCATTTTTATAAAAAAAAGTTTTTATAACCTTTGAGTTATCGGTAAATTACTAAAAACTCTATAAAACCTTTTTTTGGCGGGAAAAAGGAAGTTAGCCCCCCCAAGCCAGAACTTTCAATTTTAGCCAACATTCTACCCGGAGCGATAATGACCAGCGACGGCGGCCTGTATTTATGCGCTTCGGAAGCCCTGCTCATCTTCAATATCCGGATATCTTCAGTTGTATAGCATGCCTCAATTATACACTAACCATTTTGCTGCAAGACCACGCCTCGTCAGAATTTTTTCGCGATTTGTAGTTCTTCGAAAGCCGGGCTGGCCGCGACGCAGCCGCGCTGTCTCCAAGTTAAGCTCCCGGCTCCCAGCTCCCAGTTCAACTTCTACAAATTGACCAATTTCCAAAAAAATAAATTCCCCCTCTGAAAGCCATTTCATTCCGCGCCCGGCGTGTGGTCGAAAGTGCCTCATTCGATTCGTGTGATTACCCTTTTGCGATAAATCGAATTTTTTATCTTCAGAAAGGAGACACCGGAAAAGCGGAACAAGAATGGAACAACAAAAACGGGGGTTGGGAAGGGTTTATTTTGGTCAACGGGCGTGTTTTGGTCGTTTTTCGGAGGACCCGTCACTGGTTTTTAATGTTTTCATTGGGATAATGTGGAAATTAACAAGTTATACTATTTTTATTGTTTTAGAAGAATTTGACTTTTTGTTGGTTAGTGGTATTTGTTTTTGAGTAGGTTTTTCAAAACTTTTTTGGCCGCAGGGCAGCGCTCCAAGCGATTTTCAGTTAATTTTCATGATCTTAGGCATGTTTAAAGGTATATAAAGGGTAAATTAATGGTCCTTAAACTAGAAAGAAGTGCTATGAAAAGCAGAAAATTTAAAGAAGTGTCTGGTCCGTCTCAGCGATCAGTCTCATCGTCGTCTCCGCGTCACAACTGCGCGATGAGAGTCCGTGCATTGAATTCGAGCCATTTTGAGTGCCGTTTGTCACTGGAATTAATCGAGAAATCTTGGAAAATGAATATAAATAACGTAAATTAAGCAGTTCGAGCTTTTCCTAAAGAATCTCTGCTAGTTACCGAATTTCTCACCTTTTCCAAGGATCCATTCCGTGCTCACCGACCGGTTGACGACCCCATTTTCGGCGGTGGATGTTCTGCTGATTCTAGAAAAGGGTTAATAATATTATGTTTAGATTTAATTAGCTATTTATTCGATAAATCAAACATTAATTTAAGAACCTAATTAAACTTCTTTGTTTTTTGTAATTAAACAGGTAGCTTTTTGTATGTTAGTTTTTTCATTAAAGTTTAATACAAAATTCTATACCTATTATTTTTCGTCGAATCTAGCGTCGTCAAATTCTGGGTATTGTTGTTGACCATGGTGATGACGCTCATGTGGTCATCGGAGGAGCAGTCGTTCTCAAAATATTTTAAATGAATTCTTCATAAAAAAACATTTGAAAAAATTTAGATACTTTAAATACACTCGGCCGTGTTTGGTGGCCGATTGGTTGTGCTCTCCCTATCACCCGTATGATCCGGGTTCAATCCCCAGCCGGGTCGCTTTTGTTGCTTTTTGGTCAGAAGCCCCGAAAAACTCGGCGTAGTCGGGGGTGCCAACCTGCAGCTGCGTGTTCAGCATGCCGTAGATGATCCAGTTGGAAGACGAGCCGACGTAGGGCAGTAGATGTACGCAGAAGACGAAGAACACCATGAAGTCGCCGGTCTGCGCCGATTGGCCCTCGATCAGGCTGAGGAGCATGGCGTAGATGACGGTGCACCTGAAAGAGAGAGGTGTTTTTGGAGGGGGTTGAACTGCTTGAAGTTGATGATGAAGCGAGGAAATAGGCGTGGGGATTTAGAAAAACCTTGCGCCGCTATCGAACTGCTTGAACTTGAGGCGAGGGCTTAGGCTTAGCTGAGGCATTGCCCATAAGAGCCACCGAACTGCTTGAACTTGACGTTCAAAAATCCACTGACCAATATGGCGTCCAGCACAAAAAGTAGATGGCCGCGATGGCGATGGTGTACCAAACAATCCGCCGAAGTGGAATCGTCGATTTGGGCAGAACCCTGCATTTTGAAATGTTTGCGCATTAATGGTAGCTATGCCTTGTGTGGACGTACAGTCGCTCGATCAGCTTCACGTTGAAGAAGATGATCAGGACAAGGGGGGTGAGGAAACCCATGAAGAAGATGCTGAATTGATTGTTAACTGGAAAATCCATGGCAGGGCCCTACGAGGTGGTAAAGTAGTAGAAGATGCTCAACGGCATCTGATCCGAGCATTTGTAGACGCGGAACCGGGTGATGTTGTTTGAATCCATCGTCTGCAAGAAGTTTAACAAAAAAAGCGGAAAATGAAGCTTAGAGTAGCGGAATTGAGCGCAAGCTTTTGGCTTTTTTTTGACTTCCGAGTGCCTTTAAAATGCTTTAAACACCTTCAACTCGTGGAGTACAATTTCGTGTGCCGAGGAGTAGACGAGCATGGGGAAAAGGAGCAAGAAGGCGATCCACATCAGCACTGAAAAAGAGCTCTCGTTTTGCTGGGCTTGGGCTGGGCTTTGGGCGAAGGCCTAGGCTAAGCTTAGGCTTCGGTTTTAGGCTTAAGCTTAGTTTGGGCCAGGCCTAGGCTAGGCTTAGGCTTAGGCTTAGGCTTAGGCTTAGGCTTAGGCTTAGGCTTAGGCTTAGGCTTAGGTGAAGGCCTAGGCTAAGCTTAGGCTTAGGTTTTAGGCTTAAGCTTAGTTTGGGCCAGGCCGAGGCTAGGCTTAGGCTTAGACTTAGGTGTAAGCCTGTGCTTAGGCTTATACTTAAGCTTAGGCTGAGGCTTAGGCTTAGGCTTAAACCTACGCGCAATCATGCAGAGCACAAATCGTCTGGATCGCAGTGTCGTCCGATGTGGGTAGCAGACGGCGACGAATCTGGATTCAAGGTTTTGCTAAAGACTCTTGCTCAGCTCTTACCGATCGAACGACATGGCCGTGATGAGAAATGTGGACATGATGCGGCCGACCGAGCCGAAGATGTGGTGCAGCTTGCAGGTGGTCGTGTCGAACATCCAGAAACCGATCACGCTGTCCTGGAAGGTTTAAGGTTGTTGGGAGATTGGTCCAGCCGTTTCTCTCTCTCTCTCTCTCTCTCTCTCTCTCTCTCTCTCTCTCTCTGGCAACCTAGCAAACACCGCTTAGAAGTTCCCCCTCTTCCTGGTGACCCTGTTTTGACCAAAAACCTCGTCACAATCCAATCAGAGCCTACTAATCCGATTTTGTGACGTAGCCGAGTGTTCTGCCCCCCCCGATTTTATGAATTCACCCCAGATTCCCCGAATGTGAAAAGGATTATCGCGGCCCCGGTGGGTGAAATCTGGGTTTTGGATTCCGTGTCCTGGGTTCTGCACATCTGCAAGGAGTACAGATGGCGAACTGTATTCAAAATTACCATAATAGCAGGGGGTAGGGAGAGGGACATGGTGAAGTCGCAGATGGCCAGCGCCCCGATGTAGATCATCGCGTTGTCGCCCTGGAATTGAAGTTGGATTGAAATTGATGAGGAGTTGATCAAGAAGCTCTAGCTGTTCGGCCACGTTTAAAGGGGTTAGGAAGTAAAAATTTGTATGCAACGTGGACTTCTCGAACCTGCCGGGCATGCCGTGACTTCCGGTCGAAGAAGATGCCCTTGAGGAGGGTGAGGACTGAAGTGTTCCCGCAGATTCCGCTGACAAAACAGATCATAAACACGATGATCACCATCACCACGCGCGGCTGCAGGTCCTGAAGCGAAGGAGAGGTTACGGTATCTTATCGTTAGCTTTTGAGAATTTTCAGTCCTAATTAAAGTTGAAAGGGCCGGCGAGAGAGAGGGAGACGCCAGAGAGAGAGAGAGAGAGAGAGAGAGAGAGAGAGAGAGAGAGAGAGAGAGAGAGAGAGAGAGAGAAAGCGTGAGAGAGAGTGAAAGAGAGAGAGAGAGAGCGAGAGAGAAACAGAGAAAGGGAGAGAGAACGAGAGAGCGTGCGAGAGTGAGAGAGAGAAAGAGCTAGAAGGCGTGACATAGCGAGAGAGTGAGTGTGAGAGCGTGAGAGCGTGAGAGAGGGAGAGAGAATGAGAGAGTGAGAGTGTGAGAGAGAGCGAGAGAGCGTGAGTGAGAGCGAGAGAGGCTTAGGCTTAGATTGAGGCTTACTTAGCTTCGTCCTTAGCCACAAAACACTCACCTGCACGGGCGGGTACACATTTTTGACGTAGTACACCTCATCATTCTTGGTGCAATTGTAGACATCATCGGGCATCCGGTTGCAATTCCGGTTCAAATCGATGCCCGAGTTGAAGATGCTGGAATGAGGGGCGATGAAGAACATAGTTAGGCGGTATTTGGGGTTTGTCAAAACCCTGTATTTGTTTTGGCGAGTACGATACGTGTCAATTTTAAGTAGACGCGGCAATCCGAGCTGCCGGATGCGGATCGGGTCGTCTTGTAGTCGATGGCCGGGTTGTTATGACCAAAAATTGTTGTCGAAAAAGTTGGGGAACGGCTTAGGCTTCGACTTAGACTTAGGCTGAGGCTGGGGCTGAGGCTTAGGCTTAGGCTTGGGCTTGGGCTTGGGCTTAGTCCTATGCTTAGGCTTGGTTTAAGCCTAAGATTCAGGTTTAGGCTTAGGTTTGGGCTTAGGCTTAGGCTTAGGTTAGTCTTCGCCTTAGGCTTAGGGATAGGCTTAGGCAAGACTTAGGCTTAAGCTTAGACTTGGCGTAGATTTCGCTTAGGTTAAGCTTGGGCTTAGGCTTAGGCTAGGACTTCACCTGAATGGCCACGGTCGCCCGGGCACCAGTGATTCATCAGAATCCATCGATCAGTGTGTGTGCGGGGTTTTGAAGGAAAACCCGGAGTGCGGGATATTGTGCCCCACACCTGCCAGGGTCGCGGATTATATATTTTTGGAGGTACGTGGTTTCGAGGTTTGGTGGTTTTTTTACGGAAGCCCTTGGGGGTCGGCCGGAAATTCGGATTTTGAAGGGTGAGGGGGCATTAATTCTGAATGGAGAACCAGATTGTCGGCTTCGCTTAGTAGTAATCTTTTAGGGAGATTAACGAGCGCGATACCTACCTACGCAATGCTACGCTGGAAGGCAACGCATCCGCAACGCTTCTACGACATGGCTGGAAGCGACACGGCTGGAGCGCCTTTGCAACGCGCTACGCTGCGTGTGTAACGTGTCAGGCACGCGAGGACGCGCTATTGGTACGGGACGCATTCACAACGCACTGCTACACGAGTCGACAAAGCACATACCACGCGCGCAACGCTACGCCATGGATGCGCGCGCAGCGCGCCCGAAACGCGTTCAATAGCTCCCCCGCCTTTTGCCTTTTTACAGTACCCTTCCATACCTGTAATAGTTAGAATGCGGTAACCCGTAGAGTTCCCATATTTGCCCGGGGTCGACGTCTTCCATGACATACGCCGCGTCGAGCTCCTCTCCCGATGACGACGCCACGATGGCTACAATAACCCTGCGTGGGGGGCGTGTTTTAGCAGGGCAGGGGCTGGCCTGACAAAATAGGCTGTATTTTGGGTGCCAACGGAATCGAAATATCGGCAATCGAAAAATTAGAAAAAGAGAGCAAATTTGGGGCATCGAGTTCATTTTATAGAGTTGATTATTGGCAGAAAAACACCGTGAATTGAGCCTAATTACAGGAAAAATGACACCAACAAAAACCCTACGGGTACGGTATTGCTACTGTAAAAAGCGCAAAAATCCCGATAGTAATTATTCCCAGAGTGAAAGACCGACAGCCAAATGCCGATATGCAAAATAGCTGTTTAAAAGGCGCGGGCATCGAAAAGAGCGGCATGAGGATGTCGGGGTTTTTGCTTGTCCTGTTTTCGGCTGTCGACATTTTGAAGTGTGGGGATTCGGGTTGTCGGTATTTCGGGCCTGCCAGAATTTCACCTGTCGGGATTCTGTCGAAATTTTTACGTTTTGGGGTTCCCGGCTCATCGGGATTTTTTTGATGGCGGTTGCCCTTAGAAATCCGCAAAATTTTACTGTATTTTAGGTTGGCTTAAAGATTTCTTGAAAAGACTACCGTATGATGCCATAAAAATTTCGCACAGTATCAGACTATACAGGCACAAATCGTCAAAATAGCCAAATTAAAAATTGTTAAACAGACCCCAAGATAGAAGCAGATTCTTAAAAGTGTAAATAAAATTTGATACGAGAAATTTAAAAGACCGTTTGTGATTCTTCGAAACTCATTCGAAATTCGAAAATTTACGAATTTTCGAAACATTGCCTAAAATGCCAAATTCTTGCAGATTCAGCTGCTATTCTATACGCCCAAAAATTCGAGCAGCAGATTTTTGATAGGATTGGCATCTAGCCAAGAAAAACGATGTGGAACGACGTGGTGAGGCCCCTAAATTTTGGGATGCTAATTGCGAATTCGGGGCTGTCTTGTGGTCCCGCGATGGCTGGGTTATGCCCTATTCGAGGACACTGAATTATGAGTGGTAGCCAGGAAATGAAGACCTTTTCAATGGCCACCGGATCGCCTCCACAACAAACAGCACCTATTTGCAGACGGCCACAAAGAAAAAAACGTCATTTAAAGGCACAGAGAAGAAAAATTTTTAACAGTTTTCCACTAAAACTCGAATTTCTAACTTTAAGTACTTTTCTCTAAGTACAAAAAATTACTTGAAACTTTTTAATAGGTTTTAACTAAAATGGCATAATTTTTACTTAATTTCACTTAAAACCAAGCATTTTTAATTGCGAATTTTTCTATTTGGTTATTTGTATTGCTTATTAACAATATTATACGATTTCATAACTACATTTTCAAAAAAATTGTCAAAAACTAAAAAAACGAAAAAGTTGCTAAAACCGTAATTTTTAGAGTTTTAGGCTGTTTGAACCTAAATCCTGCAAGTTTTTACAGACCCAACTACCAAAAACCCGACAAAATACTTTTCCCTAAAAGTTCTAGCATTCCAGAAAAATTTTTTGGTGTGGCCAATTGGTACGAGTCAGGCTGCCACCCACAGGGCCCGGGTTCGACCCCCGGCGGCGGCAAAATTTTTGCTTTTTGGAATTCAGCTAGATAATATGTTGAGAAACACCATAAAAGTATTAAAATTTAAAAATCAGTGCTGAAAAGTGAGTCGAAGATGGAGAATGGGAGGCAGGGGGAGGAGGAATCTGAAATGAGGAGCGCTAATCCGCTAGCCATTGTGTGGGGGGCTGTAATAAATTCTTATACCACAATTCTTTTATTCGATAGAATTGGAAAGATAATAGGGGCGGCGAAGATTCATGTATTTTATAGGCCGGGGAGGCTATGTTATTCAATATGCAAAAAGTCAAATCGGCAAAAGACCAATTTGGTTGGGAGATCGCTTTTTGGATAATTGGTCGAATTATTTAACGTTGTATTATTAAATATTCTTAAGCCTAGGCGCTTTACAAAGAATTTAAAAATAACGTTTCTGGTCGCTACGCCTTGGAAAACAATCGAAAATCGCGGCCGGCGCTTAACTTTTTCCCAGGCACCAACTGAGAATACCTGGAAATCGGTGGTTTTGCGTGTTAAAGTTAGGGCAAAGCACTTATGGGGGTGTTGACACGTACTTGGTATTTTTGCATACCGGAAACGTACTTGAAGGGATTGGCTTGGTAATGCTTAAGCTTAGGCTTAGGCTGAGGCTTAGGCTTAGGCTTAGGCTTAGGCTTAGGCTTAGGCTTAGGCTTAGGCTTAGGCTTAGGCTTAGGCTTAGGCTTCGGTTGGCTTAGGCTTGGGCTTAAGCTCAGTATTAGCATATCAAATACTAATATTACTCCAAGGCATATCAAATATCTCGAATTGCCTAAACCAATTCACATTTTTACTTTCGATTCAAAATAATAATCATCTAATCGATGAAACAGACAAAATTCCAAGGAGATCCGCGCTTCACACGAATTCAGACTAGATTGCTGGGGGGCGAGGAAATTGGTGAAACCCTGTAAATTTCGGCGCGCGCCTCATCATTGCTCTCATTTTAGGGGCTTCCTCCACTTTGCCCTGCCAGTTGATTGAAATTTGGGTTCGAGCGGAATTCGAGGGGCTGGGTCGGAACAAGCGAATTTTTCGATGTTCGGCGCTGGATTAATATTTGAATTGGCGGAAAGGGAATTAGATGTAGTCTGATCTGGCAGGGGGTTTTTTTGGGGGGGTTTGAAAATGTCTCTCTCTCTCTCTCTCTCTGTCTCTCTCTCTCTGTCTCTCCCCTATCTCTCTCTGCCTCCCATAACTCCAAGCAAAGCTAAAATGCACTAATTTTGATTATTGTGTAGGTGTGGTATTGGCGGTGGGAATGGCAAAAAAAGAGATGTTTAGCAAAGGAAAGGAATTGAGAGGACGAGAGGACATTAAAGGGACCGGTAAATCTTAACCAAGGGCTTGGGATTAGGCTTAGGCTTAGACTTGGGCTGAGGCTTAGGCTTAGGCTTAGGCTTAGCTAAGGCTTAGGCTTAGGCAGGAAAGAAAAAAGAGGAAAAAAAAGAAAAAAGGAAAAGAAAAAAGGGGGGCATTTTAGGGAAGCCGGAAAGAACTCAAAAAAGAAAAAAAAACTTTAGAAAAATTAAACCACAAAAACAAAAAAATAGCCCCCTATTCCCGAAAAACCCCTTAAAAAAAAAAAAAAAAAAAAAAAAAAAAAAAAAAACCCAAACCCTGCCGATCGAAAAAAAAAAGAAAGGGAAAAGATTAGAAAAAAACAAAACCGTACCCCTGACCCGTAAGCCTTGCGTCATTATTGGTGTTTTGGAGAGGGAAAACACATCTTTTTCGAGTAGCCCCAAAAATGGCCATGAGAGCGTCAACTACAAAATTTATTTGTGGATAGTGAGGGTTTAGAAGCGGAACCGAGGGGGGAGATAATCCGATGTGTCCCACAATCTTATAATTGCCTTTTGAGGGCAGGGGGATTTTGCCTTTTTCCCCTAAACAATTCATTCCACCCCCACCCATATTTCTGGCTTTTTTGGAGGGAGGGATCAGAAAACGGTTTTCTGTTTATTGACGGAGGGGTTCGGGGATCAAACGGGGAAACGGGAGATTGCATGGATTTTTGGGGAAATTGAGGAGTACAAAAATTGGTCTAGACGTACTGTCTCGCTGAGATAGAGAAAGAGAGAGAGCGAGAGCGAGCAGAAAGAGAGTTAGAGAGAGAGAGCGAGAGAGAGCGAGGGAGTGAGAGTGAGAGAGAGAGAGCGAGAGAGAGTGAGTGCGAGAGAGAGTGAGTGCGAGAGAGAGAGAGAGACGAGTGAGAGCGAGAAAGAGAGAGCGAGAGAGAGACAACTGCGAATTTGCAAGAACAATCTTTGCTTGCCCCCGCAGATAATTTCCCCCGATTCGTGGCCCCCAAATAATTTTTGAGATTGGCTGTTGACAAGAAATCCCAGGCCAAATACCAAGAGAGGAAAAGCGGAAATGAGTAGAGCTGCAAAATAGCCCCAGCTAATAAGGAACGCACGATGCGCAAAAATGAAAGAAAATAGGGGCATCCCCGTCTTTAGATGAGGGGAGTTCGTTGTGGATTCAGAATAACTGGGCGGTCATCGCGGAGGGGTTATTAAAAGAAGCGAGATAGTGAGCGATAGAGAGAGAGAGAGAGAGAGAGCGCGCGAGAGAGAGTGAGAAGCAAGAAAGAAAAACCGACCTCCCTAGGGAGCTCTTCCAGATTTTTGAATGGAATAATTGTTGAAGGTCATGAGAGGCCCATCAATTCTTATAATTAGTGGCAACAATGGGGTTTGGGTGGTTTTCTGAGCTCAAGTTTTTAGTCTTAGGTCTAGGCTTAGGCTAAGGCTTCGGCTTTGGCTTAGACTTGGGCTTAGAATTGGCCTAGCTTAGGCTTAGGCTTACAAGGAAACCTCCCCAGCTCGAAGTTGGACTTCGATTAGCCATATAGCCTATCTGATGCAGTTTTTCATGCTGATAACGATACCGATATTTATTTTTGCCGAGCGCCACAGGAACATTGTTAAAAATCGATTTAAAGTTTTGTCCCTTTTGGCAGCCCCGCCTCAAAGCCCCTCCCCACGGGGAAGGATCCATCGGCGGCGTGGTGTAGTCGGCAAGTACTTGGCCTACCAATCTAGAGGTCGCTAGTTCGAGTCTTGCCGTTGACGACTTTTTTGCTTTTTGCTTCAAAAGTGCTGTGAAGGTCCTACAAGTCATCAAGAAAGATATTCTTAAGTTTTTTGCACATTTGGTAGTTAATTCAGGTAGTTATGGCTACAACGAACCACAGGTCTCGATACGATCCTCATGAATTTTATGACCTCAAACGCTTACCTTGGTGCAGAATGAAGCTTGACATAAGATGTAAAAAACTTAAGACAGAACGTAGTATTTCCTTCTCCTTTTTTCAAAAGTTTTCAAAGGAGTGGCTGGTGCATTAAATAGTTGGTGATCCACCGATAATTCCAATGTCTTCGGCTGAAAACAGTCTTTCCGAGAAATCGAATCGAGCAACTTGAATTGGTGACCAAAGTTCAAAACAACTTAAACCATATTTCTTGATGACTGTGGACCTTCACAGCACTTTTGAAGCAAAAGCAAAAGTCGTCAGCGGCAAGACTCGAACTAGCGACCTCTAGTTGGTAGGCCAAGTACTTGCCGACTACACCACGCCGCCGATGGATCCTTCCCCGTGGGGAGGGGCTTTGAGGCGGGGCTGAAGGACACTTTTCGATTTTTAACTGTTCCTGTGGCGCTCGGCAAATAAATATCGGTATCGTTATCAGCATGAAAACTGCTCGTGGCTTTGGCTAATCGAAGTCCAACTTCGAGCTGGGGAGGTTTCCTTGTTAGGTTTGTGCTAAGGCTTAGGTTTGGGCTTCGGCCGAGGCTTCGACATCTTGAATGAAGTGGACAGATCAAAATCAATCCTTAACAACCTGCAAATAATCAAGGTGAAAATCCTTCCATCTTCAAAATGATCTCAAGGCCAACCACCTGAAAACTATGCGCGATCTCCATCAAGTGATCGTGACGTCGAAGTAAAGGTGGCCGAGAACCCCCTCCCGGCCCACAAAAAGCCATCGGAAATTGAAAATTGAAAGGGAGCACCGGAAATGGGCGCCAAGGATTTTTATAAATTTCACAAAAGAAACATAAGATATAGATGCTTGGAGTCAGGAAATACAGAATTATATATATTTTTTTGGTTTTTGGAATGTTCAATTTGATTGGTTTTTCTACGAGGGTGGGCTATCAGAACTTCTATGGGGATTTAACTAGAGAATCTTTAGACTAGAGAGAGCGAGAGAGAGATAGAGAGATAGAGAGAGAGATCGAGAAACGGAAAATACAGCAAAATTCTAGCTTCCATTAAAATGCGTGAGAAACGGGCCAGAATTCCTCCCCCACCCGCCATTCCCCTCCCCTAAATTGGGTGGCAACTTTTTGACTTGCAACGTTTCTGCCTTGGTGATGAGCAATCGTGGAAAGTGCATTCTTTCTTTCTCTCTCTCTCTCGCGCTCTCTCTATCTCCCTCTCTCTCTCCCTCCCTCTCTCTCTCTCATCAAAATGAGAGAGTCATTAATTTTAAGCGACCAAAATTTAGAGGGAAAGTAAAAGCTATTGCATGAAGTTTTCCAAAACGCGAGTTGGAGCGTATCCTTACTGATCATAGCATGTCGTAAGTTGTATCGAAGCGTATATCTTAGCGTATCCTCACGTAAACTAAGGTATTGAAATCGTATCGTAGCGTGGAATAAAACAACTCGTAAACCTCGACAGTTTCTGCAGTAAGTAGTAGATGAAATAGGACGGCTCGAATGAGCCAGAACATACCGGCAAACCGCCCATTAGCCGAAATGACTGTTGCGCTGTAACTTTGCAGCCGATACCGTTCCCACGCCCATTTTTACGGCCGATTCCCAGCCGGATTTGCCGGTCCGACCGAAAGCGTGGGCCGGCCGGGGTGTGTTTTGGAATGTTTAACATTTTAAGAGACGGACAAGGGAAAACGCGCGTTGCGTGTCGCGTGGCGGGAGTACGGTTTTCATCACTAACAAATTTCCGTGTGGCGCTTTCCTTTTAAAGGCACTTGTAGGTTCTGGCATTTTGATTTTTCGATCTCCTACCTCACCAAAAAATCGGAAATTGTCCAAATTATACCGTAAGAACCTACAGATCGGTGTAGTTGACGTACTCGCCGGTCCCATTTCTGACGAAGGAGCTCACCGAGTTCTCCATCACTTCCTGCGCGTCCATCGTTGCTTTTCTGGAGGAAAAATAATCAAAATTCAAGAGAAAAATTATTTGTACAATTCAGAGCGTTTAAAGGGACAAGCAAGCCCCCTGAATTCTATGGATAGTGGCGCCAGGCGAAAGTTTGAATCATTTACGGCAGCTAATTAAAGCGTTACTTCTGGTTATTTAGCTTTTCATTTCACCTAACTTTAAAGGTACGTGCAAGGCACCGCTACGGATTTTTACGCACCCGCGACACGCAACGCACACGCATTCGTCGGTCAATTTATGTAAAAATGCGGAAAAACTGCCAAAAAAATCTCTATGGAATCGATAATCACGGAAATGCAAAGCCCCCCTTGCCCGTTCCTTTAAAAAAAAAAAGGTAAATTCATAAGAAAGTTAAATCCTAAAATTTTCAGGCTGAAAGTCAGAATTTTTCAGAGATCTCACTTGCCATCCCGCTTTCCAACCCTAAATAGCCTCCATGTAGCCGCTCCGAAATAGGCAAAAATTTGCCAATTTTCCCTAAATTGTCTAATTTATTGTTGTTGAAGGTGAAAGGACAAAAATAACAGATTCGCAAGCAGCTGAACGGCTTGTAGTCGCCCCGATAACCCTCGAAAATACGCAAAAAGGTTGCTTCTAAGCTAATTTCACACCGCAAAAAGTCTCCCTAGGGATGCGGTGATGAAAGTGGGGGAGAGTTTAATTTTCTCCAAATTCCGCCGAGGCACAAATTCCCGTTTTTCGGGTCGGTCCAAAAAGGTACGGTAGTTCCCCGGAGCCGGAAACCCCAAAAATTTGAATGGCGGATTTAGGCGGGTTGATTTGAGGGGAATGGATTTTCAGCCAAAACAAGAGTCTCTAAATCCGGTGCCGATGAAAGTTAAGAGAGCAGATTTTGGCGTGTGAACTTGGAAATGGCAAAGGTTGGTGTTGGATGTAGAGTGTCTGGTGTCACCGTCCCTTTAAAATCTATGGACGAGGCAGGCAAGCTGGCAGGAATTCTTGGGGAGACCGCTAAACGGTAGCCAGGCCAAGCCGAAGCCAAGCGTCAGCCAAGTCTAAGCAAGCTTAACCCAGGCCTGAGGACGCTTCAGTCATACCTAAGCCAAGCGTAAGCCTAAGCCAAGCTCAATCCTAAGCCGATCCTAAGCTAATCTTCAGCCAAGCCCACCCTAAGCCAAACCTAAGCCCTTTCCCAAGCCAATACAAACCTAAGCCAAGCCTAAGACAAGCCTAAGCCTATACCTAATCCGCACCTAAGCCAAGCCTTAGCTCAGCTTAAGCAAAACCTGAGCCAAACCTACGCCAAGCCTAAGCCTCAGCGAAGCCTAAACCCAAGTCTAAATGCCTAAGCCTAAACCTAAGCCGCACTTAAGCCTAACCAAACGTCAATCCAAGCCTAAGCCTAAGCCTAACCCTGCGCCTAACCTTAAGCCAAGCCCAACCCTAAGCCAAGCCCAACCTAAGCCAACCCTACACCGAGCCGATTCCGAATTTTTAGAAGAAGCTGGCAAGTTAGTCGAGTTTTCGGCAAAAGCCCAAATCTCCCATCATGCGAAAAATTTACAGAAGCGCCGTCGCTGAAAACTGATGCACTACCGGGTTGCGAATACCCAAAAACGGTTTTTAAAAACCCGAACCCGCTAAAGGTTGCCCCGACTACCGTAACGCGATTAGGCGAATCAAAAATGGGGTCGCCAATCAACAAAAACACCAGGAAGTGGGGATGATTTGTTGGGGGTAGTGAAGCCATTGAAAACTCAGAGAGACACCTGACTGACTGGATTGGCCATCTAAAAATTCGCGAAAATGAAGCCTCCTCCCGGCCCACGCGAAATGGAGAAATAAATTAAAAAATTGAAAGCTTAGACTTAGCTTAAGCTTAGCTTAGGCTTCGGCTTAGGATTTTGGCTTAAGCTTGACTTAGACTTGGGTTAGGCTTGGCTAGGGCTTGGCCTAGGTTTGACTTAGGTTTGGCTGAGGCTTAGGAGTAGGCCTAGGCTTAGCTAACTTAGGCAAGCTCAGCCTTGGCTTAGTCTGGGTTCGGCTTAGGGCTTAGCTTAGGCATGACTTTGTCCTAGGCTCGATTTGGCTTTTCTCAAGCTAAGCTTAGGCTTAGCCTTAGATTCCTCTTCGCGGTCTTTTTGTCCACTTCCCAATCCCTTTAAAATGTCTTGACATTTCCCGACCCGCCCTTTCCCGCCATAAAAAAGTCGGAGCGATTAATGCATTGTCGGGGACAGGGTTAGAAGTGACGTGCCAATGTCTATAGTATCATTGTGTAGCTGTGCCACCCCCCCAAAAAAAGGGGCCGTTGATTTTGCCGTTGATCCCGGAGCGCGTGGCGGCCATTCTAAGGGGCGTCAACCCAAATGTAGACATACACACAACACCTTCACAATACGCCCCATTCCTATAGACGGGGGAGGGGAAGGGGACGGGGGTACGGTAAACATGGGGCATTATAAGGGGGAGACGATCGGAAAACCGGATATTTGGGCCCTCGGGAATCGCTTGAAGACGAACATTGATGTTCCCACGGCGGTTTGGAAGCGATCTTCTTGACTTCCTTTTGCGGGTTTTTGTTAGATTGCTGTATGTATTTTGGTACGGCAATCAAAGTCCAAGTCTAAGTACGACTTAAACCAAACCCAAGCTTGCTATCCCTCTCTCTCTCTCACTCGCTCTCTCTGCTCTCCCTCGCTCTCTCGCTTTTGTGGAACCCAAAAATTAGCCTTGGCTTTACGATTTTACTTTGGGCAGCTGCGCAAAAATTGCGACACTGTTTTCCGGATTCGAACAATCGACGGACGGAATTGGAGTTATTTGCACAGGGCCTTGTCGTTGGGGTAATAGTACGGGACTTTACTATATAATGACGAAAGCGCGGAAATTGGAGGGATTTTCGTAATTCTGTCTTTCTCTCGGTCTCTCTCTCGCTCGCTCTCTCCCTCTCACTTTCGCTATCTCTCACACTCTGTCTCTCGCTCTCTCGCTCTCCCTCTCTCTCTCTCTCTACATAATATTTCCAGTTTCAAAAAATTCAGTCTAACCCGACCCGAATGAGTCAAACTATTTGTCGATGGTTCGTTTGTCTGTCTGTCTGTTCGCCTGCCTTTCAATATCACGGCACAGAGTTCGAGGGTACCCGGTTGAAAGTACCGTTTTTATAAGCCGCTCTCGACCCCCCACTATTATCTACCGAAGCCCGCATCACGTTTTCCACAATGCCACGAAATGCCCGGAAAAGCGGACTTCGATGTGGCCCAATCTTTTGAGCATGATGTTGTATTTCTGAAATTCGAATTTTATGTAGATTTTTTGGATCCGAATCTTGTATATATAGCAATTGTCAAAATTCCTTTTGTCACAGATTTTATTTTTCAAGTTTATATATCGAAATTCGATTTTATCGAAAAATGAAATCTAAATGTTCCAGTAAACAATAACCATTTTTTAGGTTACTTTCAATGAATTTCGACAAAATCAGAATTTGTCAAAGTGGTGTTTTCGAAATTCCACAATGCCGAAATTCACTTAACCTCGAAATTTGTCAAGATTTCAAAATTTACATAAGCAAATGTCGCGAAAAAAATCCTTCGACAAAACCCCTGAAATTCCAAATTTTTTTTGTTATGAACTGATTTATCACATTTCTTGACGAATTTACCTCATTGTCGACAACCTCACTTGTGGCAGTCCGTTCTTTCCAATATTTTGGTCTTTGAAAAAACATAATGCCCTCTGACACGCCAATCAAGTCCTCGCGCGCTATTCTTTGCCCTGAATCATCCACCGTTTCTCGCCCCCTCATTTTCCGATTTTCAATAGGTGAGGCAGGCAAATATTTGTAGATTCTGAATCGGTTTAATGGCATACCAAAACACGCAAAAACAAACCCGCGTGTCGCCGTTGTAAAAGGGAATTTTTAGCTAAAATCTTCTTTAATGCTATTTATTTTGGTATCTGAAGAGTTATCAGAATATTTATTAATCTTGAAAACTACGGATTTAGCTCAATATTCAAATCACGATTTTCCAGCGCGACCTGTTTTTTTGCCGGCTTACAGGGCCGGTAACCCGGTCACTGCATAATTTTGGGCCCGCCCCAGCCGACGATGATCGGCTCAAAATCGGGAGAGTAGCAGCTGATATCATTTTCTCTCCCTTTAACTCTCTCTCTATCTCGCTCTCGCTCTCTCTCTCTCTCTCTCTCACTTTCGCTCTCGCTCTCTCTCATTCTGTCGCCTCTCTCTTGCTCTGTCTCGCTCTCACTCGCTCTCTCTCTCTCTCCCGCTCTCACCTCTCTAGCTCTCTTTCTCTCTAGGTTTCACCCGCTCTCTCTTTCTGTTTCTCTCTCTCTCTCTCTCTCGATCTTTCTGTCTCTCTCGCTCTATCTCTCCCGAAATTTCAAGGATTCGAAAACTATCCCGAAGCCACGGTATGGAAACGAAACCTAAACACTAGTTTACTACACTGGCCGACACTCTCGAGCGGTTAGATTGTCCTTATTTCTCTTTTTCCTCATTAATCTTTATTATATGCTTATTTACAAAGTAATTCAAGCGTTATTACTATTTTAGAAACGATGTCATTCCGTGTCTACCTTCTTATCATGAGCTTGAGCTCGCTGGCGGGTACGTGCATGTGTAAGTGTCCGCCGTCCTTTCCATACTGTTACCTATCCCCCGAACTTCCGCAAATGGTCTGGCTGGCTTGTCCCGGATTTGCCCCACATCTTACTGGAAAAAATTTTCTTGATAAAACTCCAGATTCTACCTCAAAATTTTAAAACGAGGCTGATGAAAATTTTTGTGATGAAAAAGAATTTTTAACAAAAATTGGGTGGGCAAGCTAGCAATGACTATCAAGGAAAATTATTACAACAAGTAGGCAATCGAGCATAGATTTTTAGGGAAAATCTGTGCGAAGTCTTTTAAAGGGACTGGGAAGGTAGAAATTCGACCTCAAAAAACGGGCAGAATTTTTTCTTCCAAGTTTTAAAAACCTAATTATAAGAGATTTAAAAGTATGAGTAAATGTCAATAAAACAAAAAAGGAAAATAAATAAAGTGTTAAATCGAAATCAATAGAAAATTTATAGCAATAAAAACTCCCCAAGGATCACTGCTCGATTGCCTTTTTCCAGAAACCATTTTCCCCTTATCCCGGGTCTTTTGCATGCTAGGCGCCCTAATGTAATACGGTATTCCACAACTGTCCACCGTACACCCCATTCCATTCTTCCAGTCTTACCAGCCACACAATATGTCGGCCAACGCCCCTACTATCTACGACAATCCACCGAATGCAAGGGGCCCAAAGTGTACGAGATTCGGAATGTACAGGTCGGTTATGGCCGGAGTTTTAAAGAAACTTGAAGGCAAGCTCTCTCTCCCTCTCTGTCTCTCTCGGTCACTCTCTCTCTCGTCATTTCCGGAGATTCCTTGTGAAATGACCCAGCGGGTGCACGAAAATATGCTAGCGGAGATTCTTTACGAACGGGCAGGCTAGCAGAGATCCATTAGGAAAGGCAGGATAGCAAGGACTCTTTAGGAACAGGCAAGCTAGCGGTGATTCTTAAAGAAAGGGCAAGCTAGCGGAAATTCTTGTGGAAATTGGGAAGCGGGCAGACATTCTGAAAGAATTTGGGATGCGAGAAAATTTTTTAGGGAAGGCATACTGCGAGAGCCCTGAAAGAAAGGGCAAGCTAGCAGAGGACCTTTGGAAAAAGGCAGGCTAGCAGAGATTCTTTAGGAAAGGACAGGCCAGCGGAGATTCTTGAGGAAGGGGTAGGCTAGCGGAGATTCTTTAGGAAAGGGCAGGCTAGCAGAGAGCCGCGGCATCGTAGGACCGATAATAGTGGTGATTTTTTGAGTGCTCTGAGGCACGATATCAGCCCAACTCTGTGTAATTTGCCCCAAATTTTGCCAATTATGCAAATTGCAGGACGTCGACCAATGCAAGGAGGCGTGCGTGCAGTTTGATTGCGCGGCCGTCAACCTGTTCCAGCTCGGCGAATTCCAATTTATGTGCGAAATTTTGGGCTCTGTCTACACGTACTATCCGGCACAGGGTGCCGCATGCTATATCGGGGCGTAATTTGCGTATTTAATTACCGTATGCCCCCCTAAAAATGGCAACAAATTATGATGTATTTAAAAAATGTTGTAAATTAATTTTTTTTGATATGTAAGGTTTGAAAATATAAGTATTAAATCATAAATATTTAATTTTTTTAACAGCATAAAATTAAGCTTACCTTAAGCTTGGCTTAAGCTTTGGATTAGGCTTGGCTTTTGCTTATATCTATTAATATTCATAATATGCAAATTTCTCGGCGTATCCCCGCGTACTTGTGCTCTGTGATCCACATAAACTAGTCAAAAACCCCCCGATTTTTTCCGTACTCCTTTTTCCTACAGTATCCGACAGTCGGTGGTATAGTACGGTAGCGGAATGAAATAAATTGTCTTTATTTCACCCATAAAATAATACATATGGAAAATTGGATCAAACATACGCAAAAATACAAATATCATAAGCCCGTCGATGCAGAGACAGAGAGAAAAAACCCGCTTCGAAGGGGAGAGAGTGAATGAGAGAGAGAGAGAGAGCGAGAGTGAGGGTGAGGGAGATAGCTAGAAGAAAAATCATGAGAGACCAGACAGTGAGACTTGAGATTTGAGCTTTGGAGGAGGGTACGGTATTTCAAACACAATTTAATACTCGAATGTCAGGTTGTTCGATTTTGTGGATAGTAGCGTGCCGTTCTGGTCGGCCCGTCGCTCCTTTTGGCTAATCGTGTTGTGGTAGGCTTTGGCTTTCTGAAAAGACCAATTTAATTTTTGAAGAAAATTCTGAAAAAAGACAGGCTAGCAGAGATTCTTTAGGAAAGGGTAGGTTAGCGGAGATTCTTTAGGAAACGGCAGGCTAGCAAAGATTCTTTAGAAAATGGTAGGCTTGCAGAGACTCTTTAAGAAAGGACAGGATAGCAAAGATCCCTTAGGAAAGGGTAGGCTAGCAGAGATTCTTCAGGAAGGGCAGGCTAGCGGATATTCTTGAGGAACTTGGGATGCAAGCAGAGATTCTTTCGGAAAGGGCAAGCTAGCAGAGATCCTTTAGGAAAGGGGAGGCTAGCAGGGATCCTTAAGGAAAGGGCAAGCTAGTGGAGATTCTTTCGGAAAGGGCAGACTAGCAGTGACCTGTTAGCAAAAGGCAGCGAGCTCACTCACCTTCAGCTTCCCGATAAAGCTATTGACGCTCTGCCGGAACTTCCGGATCCTTAGTGTGTAGATGAATGGATTGGAGGCCAATTTGAGCATCACCTGGAATGGATTTACATTTTTAAGAAACTTTTTAAATTTACTAAATGAATTCAGCTACAAAATGGCTGTATCAAAAAATTTAGTAAAAAAAAACCATCGTTCCCCACCATGCAATTGACGACCGAGTTGAAGAGGAGCGAGACGTACGGCGAGATGGAGATCTTGTACGTCAATAGGCAACCCTCGGAACACACCTGGATACGGTAGGCATTAGTGGTTTGATATTAAAAACTTACCAATACAAAATACAGCACGCACAGCCCCCAGGAGAGGCAGAATGAGAGGAGGATGAGGAGTGTCGTCCAGACGAGCTTCAGCTTCCCGGCAACAACGCTCTTCCCCACGCCGACACGGTGGATGGAAATTGTACTGGAAAAGAATGGATTAGAACTACCTCTCTCTCTCTCTCTCTCTCTCTCTCTCTCTCTCTCTCTCTCTCTCTCTCTCTCTCTCTCTCTCCCTCCCTCCCCCCCCCCTCTCCCTCTCTCTCTCTTCTCTCTCTCTCTTCTCTGTCTCCCCTCTCTCTCTCTCTCTCTCTCTCTCTCTCTCTCTCTCTCTCTCTTGCTTCTCTCGGTCCATTGAAATCGAAAATTACCGACAACATACCTCTCATTCCTTCCACTCCTTGAGTCGAACTCAGCCTTGGCTTTCATCAAATGCGCCACGATCAGAGAATAGAACACCTGGAAACACGATTTAAAAATTTCTGGGGCAATTTTCATACAAGATTTCCTATAAAAATGTCAAAAAACTAGACGGTCGACGTCTTCAAAGAAATAGATCTTACCAGTGTGGCCAACAGCGGGGCGGTGAAGAGGACAAAAACGATGGCTCGGAACGGGAATCGATTGTAGAAGCCGAAATGACATTCCGGATGGCGAAGACCGTCCTCTGGCCACCAGAGGAACCTGGAAAACAGAGAGTACCGGGATATGTGACTTCACTGTCCCTTTAATAGTGCTGAATGCTGCATTTTGTTTTTTTTAGCTGGCAGCATTGAGAAAAGACTAGAAAAATCTTGATACTAAAACGTCTCTGCTGTAATTTGCATGTAGCCCCTGCACTCCGCAAAATTCTCTGCTAGTCAACCATGATAAACTGAATTGTCGCCCGGCTTTTTCCTTCAAAAGCACCGCTAGCTTGCCAGGAAATTCATCAAATACAAGAGGAAAATGGCAGACAACCTACCATCCGAATGAAATGAAAAGGGGCGTGATCCAGAGCAGGAATAATAAACTCCGCATCCTTCGCGTCGTCACCAGCATCTAAATTTGCGTATCAGTTTAATTACAATTTAAGGTTAAATTTGTTGAGTTTAATTCCAATCGAATTAAAAGGCCAAAATCCAAATTTCGATTTACCCGATATTTCAGCGGCCACATCGTGCCCACAAACTGGTTGACGGCCAGCGCAAAGAGGTGCCAATCGGACGTCAGCATTGCCGCAACCTGAAATTTGCGTAATGGAGGGGATTTTCTGTTTTTGTAGTCTTCTAAAGGGTGACAGCTGGTAGCATCCCCATCCTACTAACTAAAAATCTACCAACCCGAAAAGCCTCCAGCACGGCATCCATACAAAGCGACCGTTTTCGGACACCAATCACTACGGGAAGATACGAGTTGACGAGTAACCCTGAAGATGTATTTTAAAGGGCCATTGAAGGTATGAGGATACCGATTATGAGAAGGGTGGCTGCCCACAGATCTGCGGCTGATAGAGAGACGCACAGTTTTAAATAGGGCGAAACGGGGGAGGGCAAATGGCGGGAGGAGATGCAGATGACGCCGTTGCCGATGATGGCAATCTGGAGAAGGGATATGTATCTCTCAATCGCTCTCTCTCTCTCTCTCTCATCTCAACAAGACCTTACCAATAAAATGACGATCATCACTGGGATCACATAAAAGTAGAAGGAGCGCACGAATTCGAAGTATTCGATGAAATATTGATCGGATTGCACCACGTAAGGTGCTACGGTGCTCGTTGACGTCATCTGGAAAATTGGTTTGAGAATCAGGGCGAATGTTAGGCAAGTGAGCATCAACGAGAAAGAGAACGAGTTCGTGAGGGAAGGAAAGTGACATATAGAGGGAGAGAGATAGAGAGCGAGCGAATGAGTGAGAGAAAGCGAATGAGAGAGCGTCCGAACGAGAGAGACAGAGAGAGAGAGCGAGCGAGCGAGAGAGAGCGATCGAGAGAGTGCGAGAGGGAAATATGCTTTGAATAGGCCGTTCGATAAAACGCCAAAGAAGAAGAGGGCGAGTGAATGAGAGAGCGACAGAGATATAGAGTGAGCAAGAGCAGAAATTAAAGAACCAAGAAAAGAAAAAAGAAAAAAATACCAAAATCCATCCCCCACCCCGTGACTTCCCAGTCCCTTTAGCCCCTCCCAAAACAATAGAAGGGTGTCATAATATTTTGACCCCCCCTGGGGTTTTTGGGGGGTGTGAAAGCGCGCGGCTTAACATGTTTATGCTCCTCCAAATAGAGCCCGCGCGAACGAGGAGAGCAACAAGAAGAAGCAAAAAGCAGAAGAAGAAAAAGAAACATTTTGGCACCGTCAGAAGGTCATCCGGCCTTGCCGGGCGATGCCAGACGTGTCGGACTGGATCCCCCCTCCTGTTTACTTCACACCCAAAAAGTTCGAAAAATGGCCCTGAGGCTGAGGATGAGCATGAGGGGTTGGTGGGAGGGAGGGGAGACTAAAGAGGAGGGGAAGCTGCAGACACAAATACACTTGACACTCCCCTTGCTTTCCACTTTAGACCATTTAGGCAACAAGTGAAGTTCACAACCAGCGAAAACACAAAAATTGTTAAATTTTCCTGCATGATCTCTGCTAGCCTGCCCGCTAAGATACTACTTCGACATGAATTCCATTAATATCCCGATAAATACCGACAACCAAAAACCGTCAGTCAAAATCCCGACAGGCACAGGAAATGGCACCGCCTTTGAAACCACTATTTTGCGGGCCGGAATTTCGGTTGTCGTTATTTTTGAAGAGAAAGAGAAAGAGAGAGCGAGAGAGAGAAAGAGAGAGTGAGAGAGATAGGGAAACAGAGAGAGTGAGAGAGCGCGAGCAAGAGAGCAAGAGAAAAGAAAATGATAGAGTGAAGAAGGAAGTCACCAAAAAGCTGCGAACAAAAAAAATCGCAAAATATCGCAAATATCGAAAATAACGATTATTAACTGGGTAAATTTTTGCTCCATAAACGGCGAGCTATTTTTGCAGAGCCAACTGCAAGGGGGGAATGAGTGGGCGGACAGTCCCGGAAAAATCGGGGCGTCCGCTCGATCACATGGATGATAGACGAGCGAGTGGATTAGCCGAACGGGCTCAATTCGCTCGATTTTGATCCCAGAAGTTTTCTTTTTGGGTTTTGCCAAAAGACGGCCGTGACGCGACGCAAACAGCTTTTTCGCTGATTCATGCATTTTTAAGCGGGGTTCGGATCTCTTAGCAAATTCGAAAAAAGACAGACTTGCAGGGCTCTTCCTTCTCTCTCTCTCTCTCTCTCTATCTCTCGCTCTCGCTCTCTCCACGTTCCAAGCCTACTTCTAATTTGCATAAAAATGAAAAAAAACGCCAAAAAATGTTGTAAAATGAGCTGAAAACGATTCGTTGCAAACTTCAAAATAGCAGAAAAACGCTGGATCTGATTCTCATTCATGCAAGCTAGCAAAGACTCGAGAAATCATCCCAAATTTGCATCTGGAAAGGGGCATTCGCCGCGCGTCTGGTTTTGTGGGGTCGGAATGGCCGTCAGGAGGGGCGTGGGAGAATTTTTCTGGCTTTTTGGAATTTTGAAGATGAACGAGGAGGAGGGGTTCTTGCTCGAGGAGCGGATTAAGAAGGGTGGAGAGAGAGAGAGTGAGAGAGGGAGAGAGAGAGAGAGAGAGAGAGAGAGAGGGCGAGAGAGAGAGAGAAGGGCAGACGAAGCAACATCACTCAACAAATCTTGACGACTACCTGGGAAGGGGCTCACAGTTCACAAAGGTGGGTGGAATACATGAAATAAAATATTTTAAGAGATTTTAAAGTGAAGCAGCTATGAGGCTCAGGCTTGGGAATAGGCTTAGACTTCACTTAGGTTAAGCTTAGGCTTAGGCTTAGGCTTATGTTTAAGCTTATGCTTAAGCTTAGGCTTAGGCTGAGGTTGAGGTTTCCGCTTAGGCTTAGACTTAGGTGGCTTGGGTGACTTACCTAGGTGACTTCGCTTAGGCGTAGGCTAAGAACTTTCGCGGCCAGGAAAAACCCACCGGCCGGCAAAGTTCAGAGGTCTAGGCCCAAATTTGAGCGCGGCCACCCCAAAATTGGCCTTTGGCCCACGCCGAATGCCGTCGATTTGTAAAGGAGCACATTTTCGGGTACGCGCCGCACAAATATACGCTCGCCATCCATCATCTCAGCCAAAGGGGGAGGCGCGCCGCTTTTTCACCCAGTTTTGGCCACCCGAAAGCCACCGGAGGGCCCCTGGCCCGGCAGAACGGAGATAATTTATTATTTTCGATTGGCCGGGGTCAGGGATTTAAAGGTTAGAAAAATTGAAAAATCGGAAATTTAGTGAAAGGTTGAAGGTTGTCTGGAGGAGGCTTTCGAAAATGATCTCTGCCAGGCAGCCCTTCCGGCTTTTTCTAAATTATCTAAGCTAGCTAGCCGCCCAACCTCATTTTTCCTCAAAGATCCTTACTAGCCTGCCTTTCCGGTATTCCTCAAGAACATCTGCTAGCTTGCCCAGTCTCAAAGTTCCAAAATTATCTCTGCTAGCTTGCCCACCCTCAATTTTCCTCAAGGATCGCTGCTAGTCTGCCCAGCTTAAATTTTCCTAAAGGACCCCTGCTAGCCTGCCTAAACTCGATTTTCCGCAAGCATCTATGCTAGACTGCCTTCAGGTGTTGCCGGAAAGATTTTTGCTAGCCTGCTGGAAGAGTTTTCGTCTAAAAATCTCTGCTAGCCTGCCCAGCCTAAATTTTCTTAAAGGACCTTTGCTAGCCCCCGTGTGCCCAAACTTCCTTATTAATCCTGACTCGCTTCCCTGATATTCCAATTTCCATGAAAATCCCTGCTAGCCTACTCCATCGAGCTATGCAAATCCATGACTCTGAAAAAAAAATAAAGGAGATGACTGGTCGGTTTCCACCAAATTTCGTTGTTATCGATATTCGGCCTTTCCCTTCACAAAAAAGAAGGAAAAAACAGATTGTTTTTTGTGCGACTACTCTTTTGTTCTGTCGTCTCTCTCTCTGTCTTTTGGGGTTGTCTGTTTTTGCGCGTCGCCGGAATTTTTTCACGTTAGTAGGGAGGGGTTGATAAAATCGCGTTGGACCATGTAAAAGAAATGGGAAAGAGGAACTGGCGGAATGGTACTAAAAATAAGAATTAGCCCCTCGTCTCGCCGGCCTCATGGTTGGACCAATACGGCTAATCGAATCTGTGGCGTCAAGTGCATTCTGGAGCAGGGACAACAGGAAGAAAACAAGGAACTTGCTAGAAGTGGCTCGCTGGTCAAGGCACTAATGATAGGTAAAAATGAAAAATTATTGTTAAAAATAAAAAATTCGAGTGAGAAATCACTCTCTAGCATTCTCTTTCTTTCTTTCTCGCGCTCCCCTACGCGCTCTCTCGCCCTCTCTCTCTCTCTCTCTCTCTCTCTCTCTATCTCTCTTTGTACCTATCTATTCATTCACACTCTCACTGTCTCTATCACTGTCTCTTGCTTCCCTCTCTCTCTCTCTCTCTCTCTTTCTCTCTCTCTCTCACTCGCTCCCTCTCTCTCTCTCTCTTCATTCCCCATTCATTAACGAATAACCATTAAAGGGACTGTGAAGCGTCAAAATTCTGCAAGGTTGCCGAGATCATTGAAGAAGATGGCAATATTTGCGGTTTTTAAAGGGACTGTTGAGCATGAAGTATCTAGGTATTCTCAGCTAGGCACGCCGCCAAGTTCAGATCGCAAAAATAAGCCAGAATTTGGTGCTCGGCGTACCTGGCGATATCACTGGAACTCGTCGATTTCGGGGGCTACAGGTTGTTTAAATAAAGAATTCCTACACACCGAAGTCTCTAAAATCCCGAAGAGATCGGCCCGGTTTACTCGGACTTTCCCACAATCGAAAAAAGTCGGATTCGGGAAATCTGATCAATTAGCGTGCCGTGTGTTTTTCACGCTCTACCCACATTTTCATCTGGCCCGCAAATTGAGATGGCCGGGGCGTGAAAACAAAGTTGGGTGCCCGGATTTTTGCCGGGTAGACGTGGTGGCAGGCTAGCAGCGGTGGTGGGTGAAACGTAGAAACGCTTTTTCCTTAGAGGGCAGGCAGACAGAGATCTTTGAGGAAAATTTTCTAGCGGGCGGGCTAGCAGAGATCTTTGAGGAAAATTCTAAAGGCGGCAGGCTGGGAGAGATCTTTGTGGAAAATTCACCGCTTTCCGAATTAATTGCTAAACTGCGAAAAATATCCATTTCTCACTAGATTACGGTAGGAAGCCAATTATAAAAGGTTTGATAAACCGAAAAATCTAGCCAGATTAGGCAAGGAAAAGTCTAAAACACTAAAACTCCCACGAGCACGAGTGTAGTGTCCTTACCCGGGGTCCTGGGATAATTTCGGGGTTTTTGGGGGTAAGCGCCAAAAAATGGCGCTCCCCGCTTTCGGTGGGGGGCCCATTCTACGGCCAAGTAGGGGCTTTTTTGGGCTTTTGACTCCGTGCGGCCGAATCGAATTGCGCATACTTCCGCTTGCTAGTAGAGGGGAAGGGGTGAGCACCAGGTGGTCACCACACAACCCGAGAGTATTTTTAGGTATCACTTCCTCAACGGGTTTTGGCACAAAAGTTTGAAAGGACTTGGCAAGGGATGGATATGGATTCACAACTCTCTCAAACACTCTCATACCCTCTCTCTCCCTCTCTCTCTCTCTCTCTCTCTCTCTCTCTCTCTCTCTCTCTCTCTCTCTAACTTTCACTCTCTCACTCGCCGTCTCACTCTC